GGGGAGGTCGGAGAAGAGGGGAGGTGGCCATCCGCAAGGGGAAAAATCTGATAAGTTTTACTTTAAGAGTATGCATGACCTGATACAAATCTGCAATATAATTATATATTATTTGTCACCATTAACATTGCCCGTATTCATTTCATTAAACATAACATTTATTTTACTTGAAAATGTTAAAATAACTTTAAAATATGATTATGTTAAGAACATATTTTACTCTTTAAACAATTGTTTTGTTTTTAATTACTATCATTGCAAAATTGTATTAAAAAGTGTTAAAAACTCTTACACGGGCAATGTTAATGGCGATAGGTATCGTTAAGTGTTTATTGGGATATCTTTAAAACCTATGAAGAGCACGCGGCGTGGGGCAATAAGTCTGTCAACAGCAAATGCGTAAGGCGGTCCTAATCGAGACCGAAAATAATCACTGGACTGACAGAGTAAACTAACATTGATCACATAATTCTAACACATTAAAAAAAAGGGCCTAATAGCCAAACTCGAGATTTGTAAACATTAGACAACAGAATAATCGCGCTTGTGATTTGTTTGACTAGTGAATAAATGCAATGCTTTGGAATTTGATAAACAAAGACGGAACTCTACTACAAAACGTGCTTGGGACAAAAATTATTAAAAACAACTGACACACTTTACCAAGGGCAGGAACTATCTGACCAGGACACGGACAATGACAATAACGAACAAGACAAAGACCTCGACTAGGAGACTACACCACTGCAGCGAAATAACAACTCCCCAACTCCAATTAGTAATCCCAAATGTTTGGAGTAATACTAATCGACTGGTTTAGGGGGATTCCGCGTCGTACTTAGTTTTAAGTCGGCGTAATTGTCCCCCAAAAACCAACTCCCTCCCGTCCCTCATCCATACCCCACCGAGCGTATAGCATAGGCTCGGCGAACCCGGGAATGGCTATTATAACTATTCGCCTCTCGCTCTCGAGCCCCTAATAGGGGACAGTACGGAACGCAATGGACATTCGCACCCAGCAAACACGGGTGAAGCCGTGCAGTTGCTGGGGAAGAACAAAAATCGGCGTAAGTAAACATAGGCCTGTACGGGGTTCGAGAGTCAAGAGGAAATGGGGCTGGTTATACGTCTCTTATACTCATACTCATACTCATTTTTCCATAAATATTTTTCTAAAATAAGAGTGTGTTCAGAAAATAACGGGAATTGTTAAATTTCGCGGGTTCGGAGGGTCCGGTTGTCATAAAATTTTGTTTATTATGTTGGTATACATGCCCCCGAAGTATGATAAAAACTTTAGCTGTTTTCATTGTTTACTTTGTCTGTGGCAGCCGCTAAGGTTAGACGTGTTTTATGAGCTTGGCGATTTTAAAAGAAATGGATCAAAGAGAATTTGTATCCAATTCTGCTTAAAAAATGAAATAAATTCTGCTATAGTTTACAAGTGATATAAGAGATTCCAAGATGGCCGTGAAGACGTTGAAGATGACGAACGCCCCGAACGCACAAGCACATTAACAACCGATAAAAACATGGAAAAAGTGGAAGAAATGGTTATAAACCATCAAAGAAGTCGCTGATAATGTTGATATATCGATTGGCTCATCCCATGAAATTTTTTCAAATGTTTTGGGTATGAAACGCGTGGCAGCAAAATTTGTTCCAAAATTGTTAAATTTTGAACAACATTTTTGGCCAAAAACAATACTGTAATGATGCCCCAGCCTCCATATTTGCCAGACATGCCTCTGTCTGACTTTTTCCTATTCCCAAAAATAAAGAGAACCTTAAAGGGCCGTCGTTTTGCAAGCATAGATGACATTAAAAGCGCATCGCTGAAAGAACTAAAGGCTATCCCAAAGATCGAGTTTTAGAAGTGTTTCGAGTATTGGAAGAAGAGCTGGCACATGTGCACAATTTCCAATGGGGACTATTTTGAAGGCGACAACATTAATGAAGACGAATAACTAAATTTTTGTTTCAAAAAACAAAAATTCCCGATATTTTCTGAACACACCTCGTATAATAAGAAAAGTTTTAAGTTATTAAAAAATGATTAATAAAATTTTGTAGATTTTAAGTTTTGTTGAATTTTTATCCAAACAATAATTTTTCTTAAAACCGTAAAATATTTAGAGGGCATATAATTTTTAAGTTGTATCGTGCCTATTTTTATCAATAAAATAATGCGCTTTTGAGTTTTAATGCAAAATATTATTAGTTTTGACAATTCAAGTTATATTTTTTATTTTTACTCTAGGGTGGCCTTTATTACAATTTTGTAAAATATAAATTAAAATAACAAAGAAATTACGAATGTCAATGTTTTAGAAAGAGAGAGCAGTTAGTAATTATATCGTTATTTTTACGTAAATTTGTGGTATTTATATTGTTTTTATTAAGTTTTTCTCTCATTCCCCAAATTTGGTAATTTTTCGTATCTATACCAATATAAAACCGTTTTGGACCAAAACTTTTGGTTAACCGTAAAAAATACTTTAAAGTTGACTTAGTAGTAAATTTTTATATTTAAATATTCAAAGCTACTTTAGGCGTATTCGCCTTTTTTCAAAAATGGTGGATGCGCCGCCATTTATATTTTAAAATGCTTTTTACGTTTATTTTATGCATTTTTGAGAAAAATGTAACTCATAACATTTAAGAACTAATTTTTTTAAATTATTTTCTTCTTACTTTCTGTTTTATTATATTTTTTTTTTTAATTTTTTTTGTATTGTGTTTTTTTGGACTACTTCTAGGTCACACATTTGGGGGGAAGGGTGGTTCACCGTTTTTGACGAAGTGTGATATAGGAAGGTGGGTAGGTACTGTCCATAATAAAAATAGGTTTAGTACCAAACTGTTTTTTTAACAAAAAATAAGGTACACACTATCCACAATATCCCTAAAAAAATTACTCCTAATTTCATAATTTTTATGGTTATGTGGGCGTAGAAAATCCCCTTTACCTACGCCCATGGTACCTGCTATTCGGAACCAGAAATCTTTCTCCACTTTTGATCTCCCACCACCGAAAATCCCTTCTGAAATCTACCTACCACGAAAAGCTTGCACCTGCTTATCTACCGAAAGATATTTCGGATACAATTCCGTCCTTTGTCCGTAAAAAAAATGGTTTGAAATCGTTTTTTTTTTAAGGGCAAACTTTTCGAACACAACAAGGGCGGGGCTCGGCTTTTAATTTATCGATATCTTTAACGAAAAATCTAAAATACCTCATAGCACCTAATCTTTCCCAGAAAATGTTACCAAAATATGTAACATGCCATTTGCAAGAATTAATAATAGGGAACTGTTTTTTGATTTTTTGTTGAGTTAGTTTTGGTTCTCCGAGACCACCCCAAATGTCATGTTTTTATTATGAAATGTTTTCAAAAATATTAGAAGTTAATTAAATATTAAATTATAATTATTATAATCACTCCCTGTATTGTTTCAAATGTAGACCTTTCACTAAAAATCATTGTTTTTTATCTATAGGTACTTAAAAAATATTTATAAGATAAAATACCTATATGATAAATATATAGAAAATATTCTTCAGAATATGTATAAAAAAATGTAAAAAATGGGTATTAACTTAAAAAAACATAATTTGTGGAAAAAAAGGACAATCTAGAAATAATTATTACTATTATAAAATTGTAGCAAAAAATATCAAAGGTTGTTCAAAAATTTAAAAAAATCACCTTAGATACTATTTAATATTTTTATATACCTAGAATTAACTCTACCTAAATAGATGTCTTTTTTATAAATATTAGAAAATATTTTATAACTCTGTTGAGTTATTTTAGGTTAAAATAAAGACCACCCCAAAAGTCACACATGTTTCCTTTTAGGGTAATTTATGTGAGATTTTAACAAACGTGTTCTCAATTTAAGATAAACAACGCTTAAAATTCAGGACCGAGATGCTTTTAAAAGACTTGTTGACATATTTGAGGAAATGTGCACTTGCTGCCTAAGTTATATTAGTGGGGCGTTATCTAATATATCGTAGACACCTTAAACAAAATTGGTTTGTTTTTATCCAGATGATAAAATTAGAAAATTTTTTTAAGCAAATTTTAACTATTATATTGTATGTAATAAATAACATAAGGTATTCTAAAAACAAAACATTTAAAATTATCCTTCCAAAATCAATTTTTCACGTTTGGTGGCCGGCACTTCAAACCAGCGTAGCTGCCTATTGAAATTCGAAAATAAAAAATCTCGGTGCTCGAATCCGATGGAGTGTGCATCCGGTCCATTATAATTCGGGTTCATTTATCACCGTAGGCCATTGCGAGACAAACGACGGCCGAAACATTCGAACGTATCTGCTACGCGACGCAATAAAGGCCGAGTGAAGGATCTTTTGTCTGGGGAACCTCAACGTACTACCTGCCACTCAAAAAACACCAAAGAAATGACCATTGCATTGTGCGGAGACAAGTTTTAGTTGATGGGTTGTTACATTTTTTAATTGTGTAAGAAATTGATGTATGAAACATGTTTATTTTACTGAAAAAATTTGCCAAATTTGTCTGCAACAAAAGTTAATTATTGATTTATGATTGGTTAAAGTTGGAGATAAATGCATTTTTAAGCCAAAATCGACATTATTTATTTGCAAAACAAAGTTCTTTCAAATGTTTTACGTTGGTTACAATTTTAATTAATTATTATACAGTGTATTCTTAGGTAAATAAAATGCTTGAAATCACTGTTTCAACAGGTGGCAGGATATTGCGACCAACAGGAAATAGTAATGATATTAGTTCATATCGTACGATTTAATATGAAATATTTCTTATAAACGAATTATCTTATTATTGTTATTGCAAAACTTTTAAATGTAATTCTATTTTGTTATTTTGCCATATCCTCTAGTCCTAGAGTTCCTAATTGTAATATAATTTAATTTGTAAAAGACAAAATTGCAAATTTGTCCCTGTTAGTTATGCAACCAACAATACCATACTGTATTTTGGCTTGCGGGTTTCGGTTTTTTGACAGCTCAAAAGTGAGGTTACGTTAGGCGAGTAACGTGTTCACTTTATGAATTTCCAGCTGGAAAACCGTAAATAATTTATTATTTCCCAGTATTTATGTCTGTATAACGCCTAAATACAGCATATTTCATAAAAATGGTACGTATCAAGCACTTTCCTGCTATCGCATCATTCAATATGGTAAAATTTGCCGGATATGCATATTTTAACATTTTTTAGGCGAACGTTGAAAGAAAGGGGACTTTTAAGGTGGAATATCTGCAGAAAATCGAGAAGGATGTTCAGAAACAGTGGGACGATAGGAAAATATTCGAAATTGATGCGCCAAACAAACCGAAAGCGTCAAACGACGAAAAGTTTATTTGCACCTTTCCTTATCCTTATATGAACGGACGTTTGCACTTAGGGCACACTTTTTCGCTGTCGAAATGTGAATTCTCCGTGAGATATCAAAGATTACAAGGCAAAAATGTTTTGTTCCCGTTTGGTTTTCATTGCACTGGAATGCCGATTAAAGCCTGTGCCGACAAGCTTAAAAGAGAGATTGAAATGTTTGGGAATCCCCCTGTGTTTCCTCTTGTAGAGGACGTAGTTGTAGAGGAAAGAGATGATGTGGTTATCAAGGACAAAAGCAAAGGGAAAAAGGTATTTATTCGGATTGTAGTTTTTATTGTTTAATTAAATTATGTTCATTTCAGAGTAAAGCAGTTGCTAAAGCTGGTGGTGCTAAATACCAATGGCAGATTATGCAGAGTCTTGGTTTAAAAGATGAAGAAATAACTAAATTCGCCGATGAAAACTATTGGTTGGATTATTTTCCTCCCTTGGCTGTAGAGGATCTTAAAAGCATTGGATTACATGTAATTAATATTTTTTTATGACTTAACACATTTATATTAATGTTTTTGAAGGTTGACTGGAGGAGATCCTTTATTACAACTGATGTAAACCCTTTCTATGATTCTTTCGTTAGGTGGCAATTTTTACGCTTAAAAGAAAGAAATAAGATTCAGTTCGGAAAGAGGTATACAATTTTTTCCCCCAAGGATGGACAACCTTGTATGGACCATGATAGATCTTCTGGGGAAGGGGTGGGGCCTCAAGAATATACCCTAATGAAAATTAAATTATTGGAACCTTACCCAAAAAAACTAAGGTACTGTGACATTTAAATAAGGAATTCAAATAATTGAGGTTATGTATCTATTAGTTTAGAGGCAATTTTGTTTCTGAAAGTAATACAATATGTGTATTTTTTTACATATTAAGACCTTTTTATAAAAAAAAATACATTTATTGTATTACTTTCAGAAAATAAGACGAAATTAGCGTTGAACTGTCAGATACATAACCTCAATTTTTTTTATTAAAACTTTATAGAGAATAAAAATAAAATTATGAACTTTTTTTTAACTTTTTTAGTGTTGTTGGTAAGAAACCAGTATATTTGGTATGTGCAACATTAAGACCGGAAACTCAATATGGTCAAACAAACTGCTGGGTGCGACCGGACATAAAATATCTGGCTATGGAAACAAAGAGTGGGGAAATATTTATTAGCACTTCTAGGTCCGCTAGAAATATGTCTTACCAGGGTTTTACCAAAGTTGAAGGAAAACTTAATGTTGTTGCTGAAATTTTGGGAGAGGTATTTTGTTTTTTATTAAAGACTTTAACTGTAACAATATGCATATTTATGCAAATTGTGTTTTTAAAATTAGTGAAACTGAAGTACAAAAATATTTACAATTCATGTACATACCTCTTAATAACATAAAAACGTTTTTTAAAACAAACAAAAACATATTTGAAAACACACAAAATTAGGCAGTGTTGCCAACAGTAAAATTTTTAAATTCTCAAAAACCTAAATAAAAATTCTCCAACTTTGCCAAAAAAAAAATCTCCAATACTTTTAATGGACAAAAACAAAGAAGTTTGTATGGACACAAAATGCAAAAAATATAAAATATGTTAAAAAGTTTAAAAAAAATATATAAAAAAACAACTTTGTAATATGAGGCTTTAATGGCTTTTTATATAATAAACATTTTTTTTAACATGGAAATAACAAAACAATAATTTTTGAAGCTATACAGGATGTCCCAAAAGTTGCTGGCCAAACTTTGCTAACATCATTTAGGTACAGATCAAAATAAGTCTATTTTTCTATATACAAAGTTTGATGGGCACATTTTAGGATAAACTGTAGAAGGATATATCTATATATTAGTAGGTACTATAGTACCTACTAATATACTGCTGTATCTGAGACATGATATGTAATACACTTTATGTTCTGTGATTACACTAATAGTGTCTTCTGTTCTTATGTCCTGTTCTGTGCATAGATGGTGGCATAGATTAATAAAATATAGATAAATAGATTAATGAATGGTGGAGTCACATATTAAATATGTAGATGGAGGGTATCAAAGTTTTACCGGTCAAATTCTTGCAGGGTAACCAACTTAATTAAAAAATCAACCCAAACCAACCCAGCCAAAACTTTCAATATTTTTTATTTTGTATTTTAATTATTAAAAATTCGCTAAAAACTCTCCAATGCATCTTTAAATTCTCCAGGATTGAGACTTATCGCTATCTAACTTGAAAACTCTCAACCAAAAACAAAAAATCACCAGAAATGGTGAAAAATTCTCCAAGATGGCAACACTGAAATTAGGTTAAGTTTTGACTACTGTAATAAAAAACGGCGGGGATCACCACAATTGGGGAGAAAAATAGCGCATACTAGTTAAAAATAATGTAAATTTCATAAAAATTACGTAAAAAGTTAAATTATTCCAAATTTCATATTAAACAAAATGGCGTACCTGTGTGTAACCTGTTCAAAAACGTGCAATAATACGTACGCGATTAACTGCGTTATATGTGAAAAGTGGTATCACAAAAAGTGCATCCCTATGTCAACAGAAAAGTTTAATTACTTTGACGATCAGAAAAGAAATCCAAAAGGATCATTGTTAATCCAAGAGATAAATTTCAATCTTTGGAGAAAAGTTTGACAACTAACACGGCCATTTTGAAAGCCGGTAAAACAGATTCACAGGTTACTCTATTTTTGTATAGATGTCGCTCTTTACAAATATTTTAATTAATTGACAATACAATTCATTAATTTATTTACAGTTCATTTTTTTTATTTTCCTACTATAATTTAAATATAACCACAATTACATTATAATTACATTTATAACTAGTTTAATGCAACCAATTTTGGTTCCGTATTAGGGGCATTCCATGGTGACTGGTGGGACATTTGACTCCGGAATTAGACCAATTACGAGCTATAATTATGTATTTGACAAGTATACAATCGCAAAATGTATCTTATAATATGAAGGAATAACTAATAAACAACATCCCTTAATAAAAAACCCCGATTACTTTCTGAGTTTCTTGTAATTATCACTTGAATGAGTGTGACTGGTGGGACACCGAAAAACCCTCTTCTCTTACTACGGTGTACTTGAAGACAAATTTCAGTTCGACCACTAAACTTTTAAGAGAGATTTTCTTTTTAATACAAAATCTATTCCATGTTCTTTCATTTTTATCAAGAATTAGATTGATTATCTAGGTAAAAACAATAAAAAAATTTTTTTTTCAATTGTGACTGGTGGGACAGGCATTTGTGACTGGTGGGACAAGTACAAAATGTGTAAACGAAATTGTTTATTAATAACACTTCTATATTTTTTCAATCTTTAAAACATTATTATTTATGTATTTAGCTATAAATTATTGAGAATAAATAAAAAAACTTATAAAAGAACACTAATAAAGAATTGAGCATGCTGATAACATGATCTTAATAAACTCAGTTATTAATAACAACAGTTCCTATTCACTATCACTGGAGTTATATACTTCAGAGTAATTTAATTTCTCTTCTTGGATTATTGAAACCTTTTTGCATTCAGAAGATGTTGCTGTCAGAGTATAAACGATACATGTATTTCCTTCACCTTCAAAATGATGGTGTTTTTGTATATGTGGAATTGTTTTAATATTTTGCCATCTTTTGTCAAGATTTGCTTGGTGTTCTTTAATATCATCTGCACCAATAAAGAAAATATGGAATCCATTGATACCTTTTAACACTAAGTACTCGTAGCAGTCCCTGCTATTTTTAATTACTGCTTTTCTTGTCATAATAGCAGACCAAAGAGTCCTTTTTGCTATTGCTCCAATACCATCAACTACTCCTTTACCATGACCAGAAGCAAAAAAACTCCAATTTATTTCAATGCCCCAGTCCAGTACAGAAAAGCATAGTGTCGATAGTGTAAATCGATTTTTAAACTGTGCAGCACATCCATCTGAGCAAATATTCACTTTCTTGAGGTTCCCATATCGAGATTTTAAATCATCTATAATCTTTTTTATAAACAACCATACAGAATATTTATTGTGGGTTAATTCGTCGCTCATGATTACATATGAATGTTTTTCTTGACCTTGGCTGGCCCATGCACATCCCGTAAACAAAGTTACTTGACCATGGCTCCAGTAAGCAGATTGAATTTCATCCTGATTCAGAATAGCGAAATTTTCTGCAAAATCAATTTGTAGTACTATTTCTGTCTCTGTACTTTCTTTAATTTTTGTCTTAAAGTATTTCGATTGTTCATTTTTTGTAAAGACATGATACTTGAACTTGAGTGTTTTACTGTCAAGCTCTTCTAGAAGATCTTTTAAAGTTCCAGTAGCAGTCACAATCTGAAACCTGTTTTCAACAGATTTCCACTGGTTCCATGTCACTTTCATTGTTGTATCCAACTTTAGAGGAAGAATATCCGAAATTTTATAACATTTTGAACATTCGCCAGCTATACATTTTTCATTTGATATATCGCAAGTAATTTCTTTTAAAAATTCTGTAGAAGAACCTGGAACTATTGGCGCTATCTTGTTTAAAGCTTGTAATAGAAAATTATAATTTGCATGATGAATACAAACGCAAACGTTGTGTGGCATGTCACTCATTGGTCTTACATGTAAAGGTCTATATTCAAAGAATTTGCTCTTCCCAAGATTAACGTCAGGGTTATCAGTGACGAATAATGAGTAAGCTTCAGCGACGGCCATTGTCATGTGTCTTTTAGCTACATGAGTACGTTCCCCTGATTGCAAATCTTTAACTGACATTGTATCTTTCCTGTTAGGAGAAGCACGGCTAATGTCATCTGTTTCGTAAAAAGCTTGAACTTTCTTCTTTACTTCATCTGTAATAGCATTGTTACTTCTTCTATCATCAGGTTTCTGGAGTAATGTAGGCATTTGCAGATTAACCTCCTTGAACATTTCGTCGTTTATCTGACAAAGAGGCGTAACTCAAAAAAAATCATTTTTGAGTTATACCAGAATGATCACCAAAATCGACTTTATAATCTCACAAACTGGCGTAGCTCTATAATAAATAGGTACAAATAAAGTTTTAGCATAAATCAGTTTCGGCGTAACTAATATTTTTGCATTTTGTGTGCCGTACAAACTGGCGTAATTCAATTCACACCGTTTTGTTTAAAAATGAGATACGCCTCTTTGTCAGATAAACGACGATTTGCTGTAAAACTGCTGTTTTTTTGGTAGGACTCTGAGGCAGAGCTTTTTTCGTTTTTACTACAGCTTTTTTTAAAGTATTTAAACACTTGTATGACCCCAGTCCTGAATTGTTATAATTTTGTACTTGTGCTAACTTTTTATTTTCTCTCTGCTTTCTTTTACGCAACCTTTCTTTTTCCTTGTAAGATTCTCTTCTTTCCTGACTTTCCTTATGCTCTTGTCTTCTTTTTTCTCTTCGTCTTTCATCCCAAACTTTTTGTTTTTCTTGAACTTCTTTCCATTTATCCTTATCCTGTCTCATCCTCTCTCGAGATTTTTTTTTCTCTCTGCTACACTCATCTAAAATAAACAAATAAATGGCCTAATTAATAATAGACAAAAACACTAGAGCATGCAAAATCAAACTCAATCTGAATCTAAATAATGGTTAAATTAGCATTTATTTAAGTTAAAAAAAGAGTTTAATCATTCAATTAAATATCACATCGAGAAACAAAGCTGTAACTTTCAGTACTTGAACAAAATTCAATCGTGTATTGACCATAAGCCAGAGTCTGAACAGTCACATGTGACTGGTGGGACATATTTCAAAAAAGCCTCAAAACTATATTGTGGACTTTTTAACAATTATAAGAAATTTAAATCATTTAAGACATATTTATGGTTACTTCTAACGAAATGAAAAATTGAATAAGCCAGATTTGAGGTTAAAAAAACAACTTTTATATCTTTTTGCGTGACTGGTGGGACATATGACATGCTTATATTCAGACACTAAATATACAAAAAATAACGTACCTTTTCTTTTGAATTAAGCGTAGTTCTTTTCATTATCTTACTCTTCTTCTGAAATACAATGATAAACTTGCTGAAATTAATTAGATGGTTAAAAATAAATGTTGCCAACATGAACAACATTTGTCCCGGATACAATTCGTCACCTGAGAATTATAGTGTTCTATCTGCATTTTCTTTTTTTTATTCAGGTTAGTCTTGTTTTAAGTATTAAAGATGGATATTGTTCTATCTATATATAATTGGGGTAGAAATTGTACAGTTTAAGCCTTAAACTTTACAATTTTTACCCCAATTATATATAGATAGATCAATATCATCTTTAAGACTTAAAACAAGACTAACCTGAATAAAAAAAAGAAAATGCAGATAGAACACTATAATTCTCAGGTGACGAATTGCCTTAAGGCAGTACAACTCAAAAGTTACTAGCAGTTAAAAAACGATCTTTTGATTAATTTAACAAAATTTTCTTTACGGATTAGTGAAATATAGACTTTTTATTATAAGTAAGGACTAAATTAATAATAATTTCAGGAATTTTTAAATTTTAGTAATTTTCCTTTTTCGCATGGAATGCCCCATTAACCAACCAAACCCCTAAATTTGCAACGCAGTCCGCACTTGTTCTATTATGAGTGATAATAAATTATTTTTTAGACCCAATATTTGTCGTAGTTCATAATATACTATTTCTATTTACCTAATGCATTTGCATTTTAAAATAAAAATTTCTTAAATTTTTTTTTGACATAACCTATCTAACCTTCACACAAAACTTCAACCTTTTATCTTTGAAACTCGCCGAGATATAGCAACAGTAGATATTTATTTCCAGGATCTTCTGGGTTGCGCTATTTGCAGCCCCAACTCCCCCTACCCCAAAACCTACTGCCTCCCCATGCTCACCATAAAAGAAGACAAAGGCACGGGCATCGTGATCAGCGTTCCCTCCGACTCGCCCGACGACTACGCGGCTTTGGTCGACCTGAAAAAGAAGCAGCCGTTCAGGGAAAAATACGGCATCAAAGACGAGATGGTTTTGCCCTTCGAACCGGTCCCCATAATCAACATACCCGAGTTCGGCGATCTCGCCGCCGTCACCGTTTACGAACAGCTGAACATACAGAGCCAGAACGACAAAGATAAACTTTTGACGGCCAAGGAGATGGTTTACTTGAAAGGGTTTTACGACGGGGTGAGTCGCAGAGTGCCGCGACCAACTGACATTTTATCTGTCAGTTGTGACAGATAAATGACATTTTATCTGTCAGTTGCGATTTGAATGAAATTTCACCGCTTTCGTAGGTTCTTCTGGTTGGCGACCACAAAGGGAGGAAAATTCAGGACGTGAAGAAAACTTTGCAGCAGGAATTGGTCGAAAAGAGTCAGGCGGTGGTGTACTACGAACCGGAAAAGACGATTGTGTCGAGATCCGGCGACGAGTGCGTTGTGGCGTTGTGCGATCAATGGTACCTCGATTACGGTGAGGAAAGCTGGAAGAAGCAGGCGGAGAAGGCGTTGGAAAATATGAACACCTATCACGACGAGGTGAAGAAGAATTTCATTGGCTGCTTGAATTGGCTTCATGAGCATGCTTGTTCCAGAACGTAAGAAAGTTACCTATATTAAATTAATTCTAACTTTTAACTTTTCTTTTTTTTTTAACAACCCTTGTTTTTTTTAATATTTTTTATACCAATATTTTTAAAAATTAATTTCACGAAATTTCTGAAAGAGTTTTCATGTGTTATTATTATTTATTAAATGATAAAAATCAGGACAAATGAAAATTTCGTGAAATAAATTTTTAAAAATATTAAAGAAAACAAGAAAAATATTTTTCTAAAAGTGGGTACTTATTTTTTAATTTTAATTGCAAAAATCTTAAAATTAATAAAAGTAATAATATATTATAAAATCGTACGGAAAATTTTCAAATCTTAACAAAAATTAAGAATTCTTTTAATGTTTTTGTTATTATTAAAATCTTGACATTTATATATTTACGCTTTTTGTTTTTTTCTCGATTTGTTAACGTTTTTTATTATTTTTTTATGATTTAAAAATTTTAAAAATTCTTTTAATGTTTTTGTTATTATTAAAATCTTGACATTTATATATTTACGTTTTTTGTATTTTTTCTCGATTTGTTAGCGTTTTTTATTATTTTTTTATGATTTATTTAATTTTTTTGCTGACTTGCTGAACCGATTTTGATCAAATTTGGTATTTGATAGTTTGAGGGATAGAAATAGCCTACCATTTTTGGACTTTTTTTTATTTTTTCAATTTTTCAATTTAGTTTTGTTTTTTTTGTTCGATTTTTGGGTCATTCCACGTTACTCGGTCATTTTTGTTCCGCCCGTCACAATTAAAAATTGTGAGTAAAAACTACACGTTATAAAATTTATTTTAAAATATTGTTTATTATGCTTTTAATAAGTTATAAGCACAATAAAAATCTCTCTACAAGGGCAGAATAAATCTTTTACGGTTTAAGTCTTACGTCAACCAATCAAAGCGCTTAAAATGGACATTTGGTTGACGTAAGCCGTAAAAGATACATTCTGCGACTATTGTAGACCGGACCGAATTATTTGTTGAAAAAGTTGTTTGTGTATTTTTTGTATACTTAAACTAACCTATCCTACATAGTGTTATGACGTGGGTCATTTTTCAGACACCCTGTATATTAATTTGTTTAAAATTTTAAATTCTAATTGCAAAAATCTTTAAATTAAATTAAATAAATTAAAAATTTTAATGAGGTTCTCTTTAATTTTATTATTTTTTATAACATGTTTTTACAAATTTTTGCATTTGCCAATAATTTTTTTATTTATTAGGTATTTAGCGTTTTTTTGTTTTCAATTTTATAAGATTTTTCTTATTTTTTTATATTTTCCATAATTTTCATTTTAAATTTTTTTCCTAATAAGTGCGCTGGCGATCATATGATATATTTTTAAGTGGAGTAAATTTTTTTTTGCATTAATACAGGGTGTTATGTAATTAATGTAATATAGTAAAATGGCTAGTTCCTTAAGTTTTTTTTCTAAATTCTAAAGACTAAAAATAATTTATAATAACCCTTATCCTACCAAAAAGTACTCCACTGATCGACTAGGAATTTTAGGCTTATCTGGTTGCTTAATTTAATTTATTATGTTATGGTTGTTAACAACGAGCGTTTCCAGATTCTGTCAAAAAAAGTTGCCAGATTTTGTTTAAATTTAGCCTAATTAGATCAACAATGCAAATTGTTAATTTAGCGTTTTTATTCATTGTTGATTTTGTCATTTTTGTAATTAAGGTAAATTCAAACAAAGTCTGGAAACTTTTATAAAAGAAACTAGTGCATTTCTTTCAAATTTAAGGTTATGTGCTTAAATTGTAAATATCTTAACTAAGGGAAGTGCTTTTGGATTTATTTACACAAATTGAATGTTTAAAGTTTAACCTGTGAACTTGTCCTAATTTTATCTGAGTAAACAAAAAGAAAAAAACCGATGAAATAATTAATTTTGTGGTTATGGAGTTTTTAAAATGGGTACTAAATTTTCTAATCATTGCTTAAGCTAATAGCTGGATGAGTATATAAATACAGAAAGTTTTTAAATATAAAAAACTTCTAATGCATATTTTTTCTTTATCTTTTGGAAAATATTTAGTTCAGTAATTTAATATATTACATTAATTACATAACAACCTGTATAATGACGTAATAAATAACTATTCAACAGATGAGGAATTATTTTGTTTTTAAAGAAATCTGTAAAAAATAAATGTCTGTTTTAATATTTTATAATTTTAACAAAAAAATCAACAACTTAACCAACTTATATTCAGCTATGGTTTGGGAACCAAACTGCCATGGGACGAACAATGGCTGATTGAATCTTTATCGGATTCTACCATCTACATGGCCTACTACACCGTTGCCCATTTCCTCCAAGGCAACACCTTCAGAGGCAACAAACCCAACCAACTGAAAATAAAACCGGAGCAAATGACGCCCGAAGTATGGGACTACATTTTCTTCAAGGAAGCAAAAATGCCCAAAACCGACATCTCCAAGGAGAGTCTCGATAAAATGAAGAGAGAGTTCGAGTATTGGTACCCGGTGGATCTGCGGGTGTCGGGAAAAGACTTGGTGCAAAACCACCTGACGTACTTCATCTACAACCACTGCGCCATATGGCCCGAGGACGAGAGCAAGTGGCCCAAAGGCATCAGAGCCAACGGCCACTTGCTTCTCAACTCGATGAAGATGTCCAAGTCCGAGGGCAACTTTTTGACGCTGAGCGAGGCCGTGAAAAAATTCAGCGCCGACGGGATGAGGTTATGTTTGGCCGACGCCGGCGATTCCGTCGAGGACGCCAACTTTTCGGAATCCATGGCCGAGGCCTCGATTTTGAGGCTGTACACTTTCATCGAGTGGGTCAAGGAAGTGCTGGCCAATAGCACCAACTACAGGTAACTAGATCACTATTTACATACTAACCACACTTTGTAATTTTGTGTCATTTTTAAATATATACAGTAGGTATGCCCGAAAATAACACAATGTTTTTTTTTATTTATTTAACTATGAGAAAGTACTTTACTTGGAATATTTTGTTTGATGTACCCTCTGATTATTTTGACAGGTAAAAACCAATAAAAATTTCAATTGTTATTAATTCTTTTGAATTGTGTTTTGGTATTGGTTTAAATCGTTTATAATTATATTTAATCAAAAATTTAAATAGAAAATAATATTTCAATTATTTTCAATTGGAACTACATTTTTTTGTTTTTATCCGTGTGATTTTGACAATATTGAACTGAGATTTCAATTGTTTTTAATCGGCGTTTATTTTTGTCAATTTTAATTGGGCTGAATTTATTCCAATTAAAAAATAATTTTAAAACAATTGAACTAAGGTTTAAATTGACATTCGATTAATCGAACGAAATTTCGTCAATTTCTGGTAGAAATGATGGATGTCAAAGTGACTTTTATTAAAATGACAGCTGTCAAAATGTAGGTGCCCAAATGATAACTGTCAAAATGACGTGATAAAATAGCATCTGTCAAAATAACAGGTGCCAATATAACGGCCCTCAAAATGACAGGTGGCTAAATGACATATGTCAAAATGACAGCGTCCCAAATGAAAGGTGTCTAAATGACGTGCTGAAATGACATTTGTCCAAATGACAGGTTCATAATGACGGTTGTCGAAATGACAGGTGCCTTAATGACAGGTGTCCAAATGACAGTTGCCTAAATAAAAGCTGTCAAGATGACTTGTTTTAAAACAATAGCTGTCAAAATGACAGCTGTCCAAATTATGTCCAAAATTATGACTGTCAAAATGACAGGTGCCTAAATGACAGCTGTTGAAATGACGGCTGTCAATATGCCTGGTTTTAAAATGGTAGCTGTCAAAATGACTGCCGTCGAAATGACATCTGTCCAAATGACGGCTATCAACATGACAAATGTCAAAAAGACAGTTGCCTAAAAGACAGCGGTCGAAATGATAGCTGTCAAAATGACTGCCGTCGAAATGACATCTGTTCAAATGACGGCTGTCAAAATGACAACTGTCAAAGAGACAAATGTCAAAAAGACAGGTGCCAAAATAACTGCTGTCGAAATGACAGGTGCCTAAATGACAGAGGTCAAAATGATGAATGTCAAATTGACGTGCCCAAATGACAGCTGGTCCATTTCAGGCGCGCGAAACCACAGATTATAAAAAAAATTGTAGATAATATTTTGGCATCAAAATTGTCAAAAATATTCTTCTTTTATTAGGCTATACATTAAATTAAAAAAAAAAAAACAAGAAATATTCTATAAAAGTAGAGATAATTGTAATAATTGAAAGGTGTGGACGGGACGAAAAAAAGATTTATCTTTTCTCGTCCACAAATGTCAATTATTAAAATTTTATTTTATTTCTTGCGATTTTTTTTATTTAATGTATAACCTAATAAAAGAAGAATATGTTTGACAATTTTGATGCGGAAATATTATATAATTCTGAGCTTTCTTTTATGTTCCGCAGCTTTTGCTGAAATGTATCATCTTATTTTCCCCAATTAAAATTGAGGAAATTAAAAACGATTAAAATCCTTCTTGAATAGTTTCAAAATTATTTTCGAATTTATACCAATTGAAATTGACGAAATCGAACGTCGATTAAAAATCTTACTTCAATATTCTTCTATTCGGTCTGATAGGAACAAAAAACTTGAAATATTATTTTCTATTTGCATTTATGATTTAATATAATTGTTTTCGCAATCGGGATTCAATTATTTTTAATCGATTTCTTTAAACATGTATTTAACATTTTTTTTAGGACCGGAAAATTCAACAATTTCAACGATCAAGTCTTCCAAAGCGAAATAAACTTGAAAGTTAAGGAGACCGACGATTTTTACAAGAAAATGTTGTTCAAAGAAGCCCTCAGGACGGGTTTCTTTGAATTCCAAGCTGCCAGGGATAAATATCGCGAATTATCCCTGGACGGAATGCACATAGACTTGGTATTAAAATTCATCGAAGTCCAGGCTCTTTTAATGTCCCCTATTTGTCCCCATGTGGCCGAACACGTCTGGGGACTGTTGGGAAAGGTGCTGCGCATGACGGTTTTTTGTTTTGCCTATAAATAAACAAATAATTATTTCAGAAATCGAGTATATTGCAAGCACAGTGGCCCCAAGTGGGAGCTATCGACGAAATGCAGATAAAAGCTTCGGAATATCTTATGGATACCGCGCATTCGTTCAGAGTTCATTTGAAAACCTATTTGCAAGGAATCAAAAGCAAAAATAACCCAAAACCGATGCCGGTCCCTGTGCCAAACTTAATAAACATCTGGGTGGCCAAGTCAGTGCCTGCTTGGCAAAATTGCATTTTAACCACCATGAAGGGTTTCTATGATGTAATTTATGAGATTATTGAGACGAAATTTGTACCTTAACGGTTAAAAACTCGTTTCAAGTCAAATCTTGTGGTGTTTTCATGGTTTCTTTTGTAGAAAAATGGTTCTTTGCCCGACAACAAATCTTTATCTGTGGAGTTTGGTAAAAAAGAAGAACTGAAAAAATTCATGAAACGAGTTATGCCTTTTGTGCAGGCCACAAGAGAAAAATTGCAGCAATTAGGTCCGAAAGCTTTTGCCGTTACTCTAGAGTTTGATGAGGCTGAAGTTCTCAAAAATAACAGTGAATACTTGGCAAATACTCTTGGGGTAATAAATTTTACTTTTTTACCCAATATTTAAGGCGCATTCATGCTCACTAAAATAAGAAATAAGAAACAGGAATAAGAAATAAGATAAAAAGTTAAAACTGTGTAAAGTAATGGTTGCGTTCATGCTCATGAAAATAAGGAATAAGAAATAAGAATAAAGATTAACAATTTTTAACTTTGGTTCTTATTCTTGCGTATAAAACTGCGCAAAGGACCAAAATGGGTCTGTGAATTATTTTGATGGGTTTTATGTGCTGGCCATGGAGCCATGGTGTTGGAAATCGCGTTGAGTGTCGCTGTCGATTGTTTACGTTTATAGCCAATATAATCCACTATAATAAAATATTTAAACATTTTTTATTTCTTATGTTATCAGCATGAACGATCAATCGCGATCTTATTCCTTATTTCTTATTCTTATTTTAAGTGAGCATGAATACGCCTATAAAACTTATATTTCAGGTTGAATTTGTTGAAGTTAAATTCACTGACCATCCTGAAGCAGATGAAAAAATGAAGGATTGTTGTCCAGGAGCCCCGTTTGTTCTGTTTTCAAAAAAACCAGGGGTACAAGTGCAATGTATCAACCCAGAGCCCCTTAATGGTCTCTTCTCCCATAAATTAACCATAATTGATGGGGATGATGTAACCAAAATTAAACAAAGGCTTGTAAGGGAAATAACAGCCATAAAAAGTAAGTTAATAGTACACACATGGACAAAAGTAATTTTTTATGTATTTAACTTTTTTTAAGGTAACCAAACAATTGAACTTTGGAGGTTTGAAGACCCTGTTATGGGCCCCCTAAAAATGCCATTATTTAATGATCCAACCAAATATAAAGTGAAACTTACTGATTCTACCAATTTCAAAGTTGACGTGGAAAAATCCACAATTTTGGCCATCAATGGTAAAAAATCCAATCTCATTGGAAATACCATTATTTATTTAGTTAAGTAAATAAAATAAATGAATTTTCTATTTATTGTTTACAAATAAAGGGTTTTACCAAAATGACTTGTTGTGAATTATTTCATCAAAATGTTCTTTTTAAAATTTCTTTTTGTGAGTTTCTTTTATCTTGGCATTTTTTATTTTAATGCTGACAATTAAATGTCAAAATATTTAAAATACTTTGACAGGAATACCAAAGTTTATTGTCACTCACTACCAACATAATCAAATGTGTCAAAAACCGAATAAAAAACCAACTCGAAAGCATTATTTATAGATTGCCTTCATGCCTTCCTCCTGTAAAAGATAAACAATACAAAAACCGTACGGGAATATATAAATGGCACTACGATTTATGTATTGTTCATCTTTTACGGAAGGAAGGCAATCTATAAATCAGGCTTAAACTGTGCGCAATTACGCTCAAAACATCGGGGAACAAGCTCCTAACAAATCCACATGGTCATTTTATTTTTGCTGTTGGCAGCAGTGAAAACCATTGTTTATTTTGCGGCAAACTTCACTGGTCTCTTTTAGTTTTGACAGCCGTGAAAATAGGTGCCTCAAGTATGTCGTTTAAATTTCTTAAAATATTTCGATCATCCTTAAATTATCGTGCCATATTTAAGTGAATTTAGTCAAATTGTGCAATTTTTCAAGTAATGGCGTAGTTATTGTGTTGTTAAACTTTCGGTTTATGTGTTTTTTGTCGATATTTAGGTTTCATGTTTCCTAACCTAACAATGTCAATTATGTTCAAATGATGATTATTTAATTCTTTCGCGGTTTCCACCGGAGGTCTACCTATGACGGCCTAAGAGATCTGACTAAATTATACTTGAATACTTTATTGAAAAGTTGGTAAATAGGGATTTATATTAAAGTTGTGTTTCAGGATGTTGATGCCTAAAAAGAATAGAGTGGCTATCTACGAATACCTCTTCAAAGAAGGTGTTATGGTAGCAAAGAAAGACTACCATGCCCCCAAACACCCAGAACTTGAAACCATCCCCAACTTGCAAGTTATCAAAGCCCTGCAATCGTTGAAATCGAAAGGTTACGTTAAGGAACAATTCGCATGGAGACACTACTACTGGTAAGCACACATAACCTAAAAAAATACATATACAACAAAATACTTTAAATTCTTTGGCTTATTACCATGTATAAATTGATTTTAAGCCAAAAAATCACTTTATTAGTTGTGTACATTTTTTCAGGACATAACAAATCTTAATCTTTTAGGTACTTGACCAACACAGGTATTGAATTCTTGCGCACATTCTTGCACCTGCCCCCAGAAATTGTGCCCTCGACTTTGAAGAAACCAGCTCGTTCAGAAACCACTCGTCCAAGGCCAATGACCCAAAGATCAGAGACCAGCAAACCTGCTGAAGATCGTGCTGGATACAGAAGGAACCCAGGCGGTCCAGGGCCAGACAAGAAAGCTGATGTAGGAGCAGGAACTGGAGATGTTGAATTCGTAAGTCTTTTTGTTTACAAGGAATGTTGATCAAGTTTTGATTTTTTGTTTTTTTTATTGCAGATTCCCGGTGGATTTGGACGTGGTAGGGCTCCTCAATAAGTTAATTATAATTTTATATTATAACAATTACTGACAAATAAAATCTTGTTGGTTAATATTTTGTTTTATTTTACCAATAAAAACTGCAGACTGCAGTTTAAAAAAAAACATTTTGTGCTTCCAGCAAGAAAGTAGTATATAGGAATTTTAAACGGCTTAAGAATTATGCGACTCAGTGTACATAAAAGGAAACAGAAGTTCAAATGACCCATCTATATTATGCAACCCAATTTACAACTAGAAAAATAAAATCTTGTTGGTTAATATTTTGTTTTATTTTATTAATAAAAAAAACTTAAAATTACATCTATAAAAGCAGACTGCAGTTTAAAAAAATCACTTTGTGCTCCCACCAAGAAAATAGTGTAAAGGAATTTTAAACGGCTTAAGAATTATGCGACTCAGTGTACACTTATGGGAGCAGTAGTTCAAATGACCCATCTATATTATGCAACCAAATTTACAACTAGACAAATAAAATCTTGTGGGTTAATATTTTGTTTTATTTTTATTAATAAAAAAATTACATCTTTAAAAGCAGACCGCAATTAAAAAAAAAATTGTGCTTCCACCAAGAAAATAGTGTAAAGGAATTTTAAACGGCTTAAGAATTATGCGACTCAGTGTACATATACGGAAACAGTAGTTCAAATGACTCATATATTATGCAACCAAGTTTACAATGTAAACTTTACATAAAGACAAATAAAATCTTGTTGGTTAATATTTTGTTTTAATCTATTTATTACGTATTTAAAAGCAGACTGCAGTTTAAAAAAAACCCTTTTTTTGCTTCCACCAAGAAAATAGTGTAAAGGAATTTTAATCGGCTTAAGAATTATGCGCCTCAGTGTACACATATGGGAACAGTAGTTCAAATGACCCATCTAAATTATGCAACCCAATTTACAACTAGATTTGGCTTGGTTCATAGAAATAATAGTATTATTTCTATGGGGTGGTTATTGCCAAACGATATTATATAGGTATATTATAATAATAATAATATATATATGGCCTGACACAAAATCCTTGGGTTATTGCTTTGCTTGGGTAAAAATTGAAACAATTAAATGGATGATTTTTTATATTTGTAAAATCGTGGATTTTTTTGGTTTTTAAACAATGTTTCATTTTTTTATATAATTGGTTAATTTTTCAAAAAGGTAGTGCGAGTTTTTTAATATTGTACACGTGAAAATATCAATCATTTTTAAGTCTTTAGAAATAACGCAATTAAAATTATTTTAAGTGCTTTTAATAAATAAAACTTGAATATACAATAGAAAATACATAAACATAATTAAATTATTCCTGAGTTAAAAATAGGTTAGGATAAAATCGCAAGCCTTCAATAGAATCATCGCGACAACATTTCCCATACCTTTCTGTGGATAAAAGCCTTTCTTTTGCAAGGGTTGTGGAAATACCAAGCAATTGAGACAACTCTTCAGCGGAAATCGATTCTTTTTCCTCCAACTAAAAAGAAAAAAACTATAAGTAAAAAAATTGTATGTATAAATAAATATTTACAAGTTCTAGAGTAGAGTTAGCAACTGTTTCATCGCTGAGTGTTCTAAGTTGCAAAACCATAACCCCCGAACTGAACTGGTACAATTTCAACGGCAAATCGAGCGAATCCATTAGTTTACAGGCATTAAGAATATCTTCGGGAGATAGCAATTCCAAACCCCTGGCTCTATTCAGCCTGCAGAAAACATCAGTTAGCGCCATCATACCTCCAACCTCTTCAATGTGTTTGCACATAAAATCGCTAATTTGTCGCGCCAAACCTTTATAATACTGATTATCAGACTTGTATGACTCTCTAGTAACAGGATCGTCAATACCCAAACTCAGTAGGTATGATTTAAATTGAACTGTTTCATCGTCGGTTATGTCGCCCTGCTTTTCCTTTATTTTGGTGGATATAAGTCTGGTTAACCTCACCATATCTTTAGCCATGGTCATGAGTTTGCTCAAATCTTGGAATGCAACGTTTATACTCTCATCTGTGGCTTTTTGTTTTTCTTGTAAGCTTCTTTCAATTCCAACTATACCAGTTCTAAGTTTAATTTGTGGCAGTGCTTTTGCTCCACTTTGACTTGGTGATTGCACAGGGGTTAACCATAACTTCCTCTGCAAAGTGTCATTTAAAACTTGTACAATATCTGTATGAAAACCTTCTCTAAAAGATAACTTGATAAAATTATATATACTGGAGTACTGAGGGCCGTTCGGATTTTCATTTCCGTTCTCCAAATCATATAAAAACACCAAAATCTTTCTTGATCTACTAAAACCAAACCCAGTAGGCGATTCTTGCTCGTAATAACATATGAGACTCAAATTAAGAGATAGGCATGTTTGGCCTGATGCGATTTGACCTGGACGACCCCAGAGTAGTCTGTGAGTGGTGAGAGCCAGCTCACCACCCTCAAAAGATGTCTAAAATGCAAAATTACAATGTACAAAGCAACGTTTAAAAAACGCATTATTACCTTCTGATCTCCATCGTATAGCCTCACGTTGGTTTCTGTAAGTAAAATTGATTCATTTTCCAACAAATTAGCGTTTGTATACACGAAGCGATTCATTCTATTTTGGAATTATAATTGTAACCTCAAAATGTGACAGCTCATAATATTACATAACCTTACATTTCGTTCACTGTTGGAGGTGGGTCGGTATTTTGTGCTTGTTTTTGGGTGAAAATCGATGAGAATATATTGAAATGGCATCGTCGAATGCATCTATGCTGAAATGGCAGATAGCGTTAGGTTTGGGTGCCATGGGGGCTGTAGGCTTGGCCTATTGGTACATGAAAGCAAGCAATAAAAAACAAATATTACAGACCATAGAAGAAACTGGGAGCGCTGTCGAAGTAGAAGAAAGCGATTTTGAAAGAGCGCAACGATATAAAACCGAAGGTAATTAGTAATTGGTGTTTTAATGACATTGATTTATTTTGTGACAATTTAAGGAAATGAAATGTTTAAAAGGGGTAAGTACGATGAGGCTATAAGTTTGTACAATCAAGCCATAGAGGCCATTCCTGAAGAATACAAAACGGATTTGGCAACATACTACCAAAACAGAGCTGCAGCATACGAACACTTAAAAAAGTGGAGCAGTGTTATTGCCGATTGCACCAAAGCTATTGAACTTAACAATAAATATGAGAAGGCCCTCTTCAGACGGGCTAAAGCCGAAGAAATGGTAAAAGACTGGGAGAGCGCTTTAGATGATATAACTTCAGTGTGTATACTACAAAATTTTGGCAATCAAAGTGCTCTTTTGATGGCTGATAGAGTTTTAAAGGAGTTGGGCAAAAAAAATGCTGCTGAGGAGATGAAAAACAGAAAACCTGTCACGCCATCAAATAATTTTATCAAGACGTATTTTTCGTCATTCTCTGAAGATCCAGCTTATAAGAAGTTGATGGATGTAAGCGAACCCATGGGTGATGGAGACTTGAAAGGTAGGTTATGTTTTTATCTTATCAGCATTCATTAAAAAAGTTATTGTTTTATTAATTGGGTGGCTTAATGAACTTGTTATCTTTTGTCCAAGTAAACAAAATGTATTTTATGTGGGTTAAAAATATGACTCAATTTGAGTTTAAAAAATACGACAAAACTAGATTTTAACCCGCAGATTCGCTCTTATCATGAGTCTTGTGGTTTTAAGGAATGTAGGGAATCCTCATTACACGTGATTTCGCGTTTTTTAATTATTTTTTAAGTATCACAAAGGAATCGTGCATTTTTTTTGGGAAAACAGTAGCCTTTACGCTAAAGAAGTATCGCTAGTAGCGCCACCACTCGGCTGTTATCATCGTAACAAAAGTACAACTTTTGATAATCAGCTGTCAAAGTTTGACAGTCAAACGCGTGTGTTACAAACGAGTTTTTTTGAGAATAAAGCCGGAAAATGTTAAAAAATATCGAAAAAAAAAACCGTGGCTCGATTTGTTGTGTTGTTGGGTGTATTTCGAGAGGAAATCCTGGGTTGAGATTTTATCGATTTTACAAGAAACAGTGTTAATCTGAATGAAGAAATAAATTGCATACAGTCTCTGTAAATATAAATTCTACCTATTAGATACAATAAATACACATTTTAGTAGTGATTAAAAGTGTAAACATTTCAATTCAGTAAAAATCGTCAAACAAAGAAGTCGTCTAAATTTAAACAGCATTTAGCATTATTAAAATCGTTGATTAAGAAAGTCTCCACTCAACGGTAAAATACCATTATATTATGTATTATAATATTATGTTGTCATGAATGTTGTTTAAAATGCAGTTGTCGGCGTTTTTTAAAGAACTCAAATATAAAAATGGTTGATTTTAAGGTTATGTTTGTGCAAAAATTATTTTTTAACTTCTTAAAAATGTCCAAACTGAAATATAAATTATATTAGGTAAAGTTTTCATTAGTTAATTCTGCATCAACAAATGTACTTACCGAATTGGATCCTTTGGCAAAACATGAAAATGCAACGATTTAGTTCTTGAATTTTATTTACAATTAAAAACACAATAATTCACAATGATCACTTATATAAAATACACACACTAACGTAACTATATAAGCATTTCAGCGTTGAGTTTCTTAATCAATGATATAAAGAATGATCAATCGAAATCGAGTACTAAAAAAGTTTTTTAATTTTTTCCTTGCAACGTAAAACACAAATAACGTGCGCGATTTAATTGTGAAAAAACTATAGTTTATTTATTTATATAAAAATGATGTAAACGTAAAAAAAGTATATAAAAACGATAAAACTTTTCAGGATTTTTAAAGGCCAAGCTTGCATTTGCCACGGAAACATACGAAGACATAATCCCAGCGTGCACGGAAGAAATAAACTTCAGCGAATCAGAATCGAACTACAAACTAGAGGCTCTATCGCTAAGAGCGTCGTTTTACTTCCTTAAAGGCCAATTCAAAGAGGCCACGGAAGATTTGAACGTCATAATAGACAGCAAAGACGCCTCCACCGAAATGGCGGTGAACGCTTTGATAAAAAGATCGTCCATATACATGCAGTCCGAAAAGTTGAACGAATGTTTGGAAGACTTCGATTTGGCAGCGCAAAAGGGGCCCAACATAAGCGATGTTTTCCACCACAGGGGTCAGGTCAAGCTGTTGATGGAGAGGACGGAAGAGGCGAGACAAGACTTCCAAAAAGCTGTCAAGTTGAACCCGAATTTCGCCATAGCCTTCATACAAAAGTGCTACTCGGACTACAGATACGCCATGCAGACGCAAGATGTCACTCTGTTGATGGAGAGTTTAAGTGGGTTCCAGAAGGGCATCGAAAAATTCCCCGACTGTCCTGAAGCCTACGTTCTTTTCGCTCAAGTTAAAACGGAAAAACAAGACTTCCAAGAGGCAGATGAGTTGTACAAGAAAGCTCTGAAAGTCGACCCCCAAAACGCTTCGATTTACGTGCACAAAGGTCTGCTTTTGCTGCAGTGGAAAGGAGACACGGAAAAAGCCGTGGAATCCATGAAAGAAGGCATCAAAATCGACGATAAGTGCGAGTTTGCCTACGAGACATTGGGAACTGTGGAAGTACAAAGGTAAGTCACTTTTGGCGCCATAATTTGAAATATTTGTCGATAGTTGATAAAAATCCCCATAGATGGCGTTGCGAAACGTTCCTCAACGCCATCTATGGGAATTTCTATCAATGGGTTAATTACATTTTTTCTGACCTATACTTTTTATGGTTTTATTCAAGGCGTTTTGTAATATTAAACATTTCTGTGAAATCAGAATTTCAATTGAGTTTACCGTTTTCGAGATATTTACAAAGAATATAAATTTTTATGACGTCACAAACCTCGCCATGTGACCAACATTCCAAGATTTCTATTGGTTGAAAATTACCCTGTTGTCAAGTTGTCTTGTTAATGATTTTATTCGGTTATGTCAGAAAATACCCGAAGAGGTTTTGTACAAATACTGTCACTTTCAGTTGAGTGAAAGATGGTCACCAAATTCATTAAGTACCTATCTTCCTTATTACGAGGTATCATATTACTGTTTGATATTTTAGAGTCCAAGATATATCTAAAAGAATATAAAGAACTAGGCATTATACTAATGAAATGCATTTACGACAAAATATGATTCTAATTATAGGTACTTACTTTATTTGTTTAAAAGCTCCAATGTTCAATGTAACCAACCATTCCACAAGATTCCTCTGCTTTGGAGTCCGTTATTAATAAATCACTTATCTAATATCAATTACAAATAACATAACAATAACATTGATTTTCAATAATCTAAATTTAAAAAAAACATAACCCGAAAAAAAGAAACGTCAAAAAATCAATTCTTCGTCTTCTTCTCAACTAAAATTATAGATCAAGTGGTTTTAAAACTAAAATATTATAACGTGGCGCCATGTATCGTAAGAATCTTAAACTAAACACACTGGCAACCATAGAAAAAGCTGGCAACGTTGTCAATAGCCTAGTGACGTAATTAGGAGATTTTTTTTTGTAAATATCTCGAAAACGGTAAACTCAATTGAAATTCCGATTTCACAGAAATATTTAAAATTACAAAACGCCTTGAATAAAACCATAAAAAGTATAGGTCAGAAAAAAATTAACTACCCCATTAACTTACTGATACGTTTTTTCAACTTTTTAGGGGCAATTTCGTTCTTGCCATCGATCTATTCAACAAAGCCATTGCTCTGGCAAGATCCGAGCTGGAAATGGTTCACTTATTTTCCCTGAGGGACGCGGCAACGTCGCAATTAAAAATCGCGTCGCGATTGGGCATCGGTCCGCAACTTTTGAAAAGCGTGTCCGCGTAAATAACAAAGATTTGTTGTATTGTTGGGTAGATGTAAAAAATATTGAAAACAAATCACTTGTGACTTTTATTTGTTGTTATTAGCATTCCAAATTTTAAATAAACATTAATAGAAGTTTGGCTTGTCATTTGCGCCCTTTAAAACAATAATCTTTTTCTGCAGATAGCTACATTTTTTTTAAATGTCACTTGTACTTACCTTTGGCTTGTATCCCTTGGCCTATAATAGGCCTTCTAGGGTACTCATATCATATTAAATTAAATGTTTATATATTATATTAATTTTGTAATATGGCAAAATAGAAAGTCTGGCAGAAAGAACAGCATAGAAAAACATGAAAACTTTGTTCTTTATATAAAGCAAAATTTCTATCTAAAAACCGAAACTCATCTGGTTATCAGTATGCAACCCAGATTACACAAAAACAAAAGTGTAATCTAAAAACCGAAACTCATCTGGTTATCAGTATGCAACCCAGATTACAAAAAAACAAAAGTGTAAAAAAGAAATCATCTGTCACATTTGGCAGAAAAAATGTTTTTAGTACAACAACAAGCAAACTTAGGTAAGTTTTTAGTCAATAAAACATACAAAATCATCATAATTCGATAAATATAACCTACACAACACATTACAGATACCTTTATTACCCAATGAAATGTGCTTCGAGCAGAGTGCTTGTTTTGCATTTTCAATACACCATTTTGTTATGTAAAAACACGATTTTTTCTTTCTGTGCTCGTTCCATCAACACAAAGGCACGTGTGCGGCCTAAAAAACACTTTATACAACCTAAATTAATGTGAATATTAAAAATACTATGTCAGATGAAAGGCCTGTGCCCAAGGGCAGAGGGGCTGCTCTACTTGCGGCCCTTAAAAGGAGGGAGGAAAAGGAGGTTGGAGTGCAACCTCCAGTGCCTAAAACCCCCGAAGAACCCCCCAAACCGAGAGGTAGAGCTGCAATGTTGGCGATGCTAAAAGAACGACAGCAACAGGTTGTTGGGCAAACACCCCCCAAAGAGGTGCAAGAGGTTGTCAAACCTTCAAAACCTGTGCAGGAGGTTACCAAAGCAATGAGCGAGGTTTCTGTCAGCGAGGAAACTGTTAGTTTCAAAGGTAGGTCATGTTGTTTACTTGTTAAGATTGTTTTTAAGTGTGTTAAACATTTTTTTTTACTTTGTGTACAGGTGACCATGGTAAGCAGTTACGTATATCAGCAAACTACATTAGATTGGAGTGTGACCCTAAAAGAGGGGTCTTTGAGTACGAGGTTCGATTTGAACCCGAGGTAGACGCGAAAAATCGTAGAATGCGGCTTGTAAACCAAATAATTAGAGAGATGGGGCAGGTTAAAGTTTTTGATGGTGGGGCCAAGTTGTATCTCCCTGACAAAATAACAGATTCACAAAAAGTTTTCAAAATGACCTTACCAGAGGTCCCCGACACGGAATTTAATGTCATTATAACGTTCCAAAAGCAAAAAAAGATGTATGATAGGGATTCACTGCACCTGTATAACGTTCTCTTTAAAAGGATCATGCATATTTTGCTTTACACTCAAATGGGTAGAAATTATTTCAACACCCATCACAAGTATTTAATTCCGCAACATAAGCTGGAAGTATTCCCTGGGTTTGCTGTAAGCGTCGACGAGCAAGAAGGGGGGCTATTATTGTGTTTGGACACCCAACATCGAGTATTAAGACAACAAAACGCTTATGAGTTGCTGACTGAGTTGCGATCAATGGATCCAAAGCGATTCAAAGAGGCTGCAAACCAGAGTTTAATAGGAAGTTGTATTTTTACACGATACAACAACAAAACATACACTGTGGATGACATAGCTTGGGAAACAACCCCTCGAGACACGTTCCCCACTAGAGACGGCAACAATATTTCCTTTATGGAGTACTACAAAAAACAGCACAACTTAACGATAGCGGACGAATATCAACCGTTGTTAATCAACAAGCGAACCGTAAAAGTGGCAGGATCAGCCCAAAAAGAGGACATCATGATATGTTTGGTCCCCGAGTTGTGTTACTTGACGGGTTTGACTGACGTCATGCGCAACGATTTTAAGGTTATGAAGGACGTGGCGCAGTACACGCGTGTCACGCCTGCGCAGAGGCTCATGGCCTTGAAAACGTACCTGAAAAACATACGGGAATCGGAGAAGGCGCAGCAAGTGCTGAGCGAATGGGGTTTGAGGTTAGGTTCCGGCACGATCGACACCTACGGTCGCCAACTCGATAACGAGCTGATTTATTTCGGCGGTAATCAGATCGGCAAACCGACCAATGCCGACTGGAACCGAGATGTTGGAAACAATAAGGTATGTTTTATTTTAACCTCAACAATTATTATAATGAAATTAATAAAATTTGGTATGTTTGAGACTAAAAACATACCACATTTCTATCTTGACTAGTTGGCGAAAATAAAATTTGGGCGCCCTTTTGTGTCTCAAAAACTATTGCAGTTTCTGAGATATTAAAAAAAATAAACTTAAAATAATTCAATTTGGTAAATTGCACGTTTGTATCTTGAATGTTTTCGGAGATATTAACGACAATTTGTTGGGCGCCATTTTCTATCTTAAAAACTATTTACATACTTACGATTAAAAACATACAACTAGTTTTGAAGATATTCAGGAAAATATGAAGTTGGGCGCCATTTTGTATCTCAAAAACTATTGCCGTAAAATTAATGCAATTTGGCTTGATTGTTAACATACTTAAGACTAAAGACATACTAAAATTTTACATTTTAATGTCAACTTATTTCAGAGATATTAAATAAAATGTGATTTTGGGCCCCATTTGGTATCTTAAAACCAATTGCGATTTGGTATGATTTTTAACATACTTAAGACTAAAAACATATTGAAGTAAAATTAATGCAATTTGGTTTGATTGTTAACATACTTAAGACTAAAAACATACTAAAATTTTACATTTTAAAGTCTACTTATTTCAGAGATATTAAATAAAATGTGATTTTGGGCCCCATTGGGTATCTTAAAACCAATTTCGATTTGGTATGATTTTTAACATACTTAAGACTAAAAACATACAACTAGTTTCGAAGATATTAAGGAAAATATGAAGTTGGGCGCCATTTTGTATCTCAAAAACTATTGCAGTAAAATTAATGCAATTTGGTTTGATTGTTAACATACTTAATACTGAAAACATACTAAAATTTTACATTTTTATGTCAACTTATTTCGGAGATATTTAAAAAAAATATGATTTTGGGCGCGATTTGGTATCTCAAACCCAAATGCGATTTGGTATGATTTTTAACAACACTAAAAACATACAACTAGTTTCGAAGATATTAAGGAAAATATGGAGTTGGGCGCCATTTTGTATCTCAAAAACTATTGCAGTAAACTTTGGTCAACATACTTAATTAGGACTAAAAACATACCAAATATTTACAGTTCTATATTGACTTTTGATAATAAATATTTTTCCAAGGTTACTGGTCCTGTTGACATGATAAATTGGATTGTATTTTTCACGCAAAGAGATCGTGAATTGGCAAGGAGGTTTCAAGACCTTATGCAGAAGTTGGGGGATGTAATGGGGTGTCGTATTGCTTCCCCCAAGCCAGTGGAACTACCGAACGATAGGACCGAGTCCTACATGACCGCTTGCAAGGACAACATCAAGGATAGCACCCAAGTAAGTCTTTTTGTTGACTATTTCCCTCGTCTAAATTTCCACCAATTACAAACGCGCAATTTTGACTTACAAATGGTTTCTAGGTGAAAAAACTGTGTGACAGCACCTGTCAGCAGTTTTTTCGAGTTTACCCGCGGCAAAACTTGACAGCTGTTGTCACCAAAAATTGCAATTTATATTTTAATTGTTAACTGTTACTCATGAAATAGTCTCTAATACCATTCGGGCATCTAATTTTTCCTGTGAAAAAAAATCGAAAAAACACAATGCTAAGTAATATTTTTTAACAAAATGCATTTGTGCAGGTGCAAAAATCCTCCTCTTCGACTCGGATTTTTGTTGCCACCAGCACTCATGCTTCTTGTTAAAATATTACTTAGCAACGTGTTTTTTCGATTTTTTTCGGAAAAATTAGATGCCCTTATGATATTACTTACGAATAAATTACTACTATCTTACAGCGCCGTCTATGTATTAAAACCCAGAACTCACGCATTCTACTGACATACTACATTGTAGAACCACCAATGGTTTGTTTATTGTACATATAGAAAATCATTTTTAGGTCGTCGTTTTCATCGTACCTTCAATAAGAGGAGATCGGTACGCTGTGATCAAAAAAATGTGTTGCTCGCAGATTCCCACCCCCTCCCAAGTGGTTACAGCCAGGGTACTTCAAAATCAAGCCAAAGTTCGCTCGATAGTACAAAAAATCGCCCTGCAAATGGTGGCTAAAATGGGGGGAACACTTTGGAACATCAAGTTGCCCTTCAAAGGCTGGATGGTCGCAGGTAAGAATTTCTCCGAAAATAATGGGGTAGTTAAATTTTTTCTGACCTATACTTTTTATGGTTTTATTCAAGGCGTTTTGTAATATTAAACAATTCTGTGAAATCAGAATTTCAATTGAGTTTACCGTTTTCGAGATATTTACAAAAAATATAAATTTTTATGACGTCACAAACCTCGCCATGTGTCCAACATTCTAAGATTTCTATTGGTTAAAAATTACCCTGTTGTCAAGTTGTCTTGTTAATGATTTCATTCGGTTATGTCAGAAAATACCCGAAGAGGTTATGTACAAATACTGTCACTGTCAGTTGAGTGAAAGATGGTCACCAAATTCATTAAGTACCTATCTTCCTTATTACAAGGTATCATATTACTGTTTGATATTTTAGAGTCCAAGATATATCTAAAAGAATATAAAGAACTAGGCATTATACTAATAAAATGCATTTACAACAAAATATGATTATAATTATAGGTACTTACTTTATTTGTTTAAAAGCTCCAATGTTCAATGTAACCAACCATTCCACAAGATTCCTCTGCTTTGGAGTCCGTTATGAATAAATCACTTATCTAATATCAATTACAAATAACATAACAATAACATTGATTTTCAATAATCTAAATTTAAAAAAAACAAAGCGAAAAAAAGAAACGTCAAAATATCAATTATTCTTCTTCTCAACTAAAATTTTAGATCAAGTAGTTTTAAAACTAAAATATTATAACGTGGCGCCATCTATCGTAAGAATCTTAAACTAAACATCATAGAAAAAGCTGGCAACGTTGTCAATAGCCTAGTGACGTAATTAGGAGATTTTTTTTTTTAAATATCCCGAAAACGGTAAACTCAATTGAAATTCCGATTTCACAGAAATGTTTAAAATTACAAAACGCCTTGAATAAAACCATAAAAAGTATAGGTCAGAAAAAATTTAACTACCCCATTATTTCATAGGTTAAAAAAACCTTTTGTCGTTCGTTTTAGGTGTTGATGTTTACCATGGTGGTCAAAGTTCTACCTGTGGTTTCGTGTGCAGTTTGAACGAAACCCTGACGAGATACATGACCATGGTCAATTTTCAAGACAAGGAAATTGGAGATTACTACAAGATGGCGTTTACAAAAAGCTTGGAACGTTACAAAACGGAAAATGGAACTTTCCCCGAGAGAGTCATAATATACAGGTAGGTAACAAAAACACGAATAAAACGTACATTTTTGTCAATTTTTGTCGTCGTTATTATAGGGATGGAGTGGGCGATGGCCAACTAGATTATGTAAAAAGATACGAAATAGAACAGTTTTCCAGCGTTCTAAAGCAGTTTGGTTTAGAGACCAAATTGTGTTTCATTGTTGTTCAAAAAAGAATAAACACCAAAATCTTTGAGATGAAACGCGAAGGGGCGGAAAATCCACCTCCAGGTAAGTCATTTTTGGTTATCTCTTTTGGGCGCCATTTTGTATCTCTAGTAGTTAAAGTAATAACATTTATTAGGATTTTTGATATACTTAATTCTGAAAACATGCTAAAATTTTACATTTCTATCTCAACTACTTTTGGAGATATTAGCGGATATGTTATATCGGGCGCCATTTTGTATCTCTAAAACTATAATAGTTAAAGTAATAAAATTAAGTATGATTTTGACATACTTAATTCTGAAAACATACTAAAATTTTACATTTCTATCTCAACTACTTTCGGAGATATTAGCGGATATGTTATATCGGGCGCCATTTTGTATCTCTAAAACTATAATAGTTAAAGTAATAAAATTAAGTATGATTTTGACATACTTAATTCTGAAAACATACTAAAATTTTACATTTCTATCTCAACTACTTTCGGAGATATTAGCGGATATGTTATATCGGGCGCCATTTTGTATCTCTTAAACTATAATAGTTAAAGTAATGAAATTTAGTAGGATTTTTGACATCCCAAATTCTAAAAACATACTAAAATTTTACATTTTTACCACGACTACTTTTGGAGATATTAGCGGATATATGATATTGGGCGCCATTTTGTATCTTAAAAATTATTACAGTAATACAATTTGGTATAATTGTTAACATACAAAAAAGAAAAATTGTACATTTTTATTTCCACTAGTTTTGGAGATATAAAATAAAAAAAACAAAACATGTTTGGTTGGGCGCCACAAATTTTCTATCATTTCCTCCTATTTCAGGCACTGTGGTGGACCACACCTTCACTCGCCGCACCATGAAGGACTTTTTCCTTATCTCCCAAAATGTCAGACAGGGAACAGTGAACCCCACCCACTATATTGTCGTTAGGGACGACGCAAATATGACGCCAGACGTTATCCAAAGACTAAGTTATAAAATGTGCCACCTTTACTATAACTGGGCGGGAACTACGCGCGTCCCGGCGCCCTGTCAGTACGCCCACAAGGCGGCAGGTTTAGTGGGGCAACACATCAAAAAGATCCCCGATCCTTCTCTCAGCGACAAGCTGTATTTCCTCTAATGTCATTTTTTGACCTTTGACCTTTTGACTTAATAATCTCATTTTGTTGAAAATGACAATTTTGTTTGTTTTCCAGTTTAAGAATTTGTTTTATGTTTTTGATATGTTACGATTTTTATTACGATGAAACAATTTTTCTAGGTTAGATTAAAAATTTATACTTAATTAATACTACCAATATAACAATATTAATTAAAACTACCTTCTGTGTAATGTCATTATATTAATAGTTAGTGTTTATTTGTTTAAATGATTTTATACATTAAAATAAAGTTTATTTTTCTATTTATCATTTGTTTTATTTATGAAAAAGAAAACATTTAAAAAGGAATGTGTAAGTTATAGATATATTGTGGTATATTAAGCCTTTCTCAAGTAGATGTACCCGTACCCTAAGAATGCCCTTCCTTCCTCCCATAGAAATTTTCTAGTTTTATTTTTCACCGTAAACTTTATGGTGAAAGATAAAACTTGAACATTTCTATGGGAGGAAGGAAGGGCATTCTTAGGGTACGGGAATCTATAAACAGCACTACGATTTTCGTATTTCGTTAAATGGTAATTACTGCACTTATAATGTTTTTTTATAGTAACACAGAATATAAACAAAACAAGTGCCAACTATTTTTGTTGTCAACGCGCATGCTTACGGAATGCTTTACGGGAATATATAAATTGACTTTTTACAAGACATTTGTATCGAACGGGCAAGCAGCCGGGAGAAAGAATCCCTAATTCAGGCTTGAGTCAGGAATTAAAATTTACGATTTTTTTTTTAAATTTTGCCCAACTTTCGTAAGTAGGTATGCAGTAAAATATCGATATAATAGAGTAATTGCATCAAAAATGAAAATCCCTAAAAACCTTTTTAATGTAATCTAGAGGTAAAAACACATTGCAAAAATATTTTTTTATATTCCAAAAGTTCAACCTGGCCCCAAAATATCAAATTGAAAAAAAGGTACTTTTCAAACGTTCCGAACTCCCGCCATATTGCATGACGTCATAAGCTTCACCAGCTGTCAGAAATCAAGATGTCAACAAATAATAAACACCGATAAAGTTTATGTTTAACATGGAAAACGCGAAACCAAAAATTGGTTGTAAATATTGTTTTGTGCCTTGTTGTACAAATACAACCTGGAAAACTCCTGGGAAAGTTGTCCCTTCAATTATCAAAAGCAAAGTTTATGACCCTACACTGAGAGTAGTTACGGCTCAGCCGTATTTTCTTGAATTTATTAATATTTAACATACCTATTCAAACCATATACCTAGTAAACGACATTTTATTTTACTTACATTAAAATGATCCTTAAAATGAGCAATAAAATGGTGACGATGTTTTGATATCGTGCCGAGCTATTTTAATCCACTTTATCCTTATTTTCCCTTTTGGCACGGTGATAAACCTTTTCCCAGGAGTTTTCCAGGTTGTATTTGTACAAGGCACAAAACAACCAATTTTTGGTTTCGCGTTTTCCATGTTTATTATTTGTTGACATCTTGATTTCTGACAGCTGGTGAAGCTTATGACGTCATGCAATATGGCGGGAGTTCGGAACGTTTGAAAAGTACCTTTTTTTCAATTTGATATTTTGGGGCCGGGTTGAACTTTTGGAATATAAAAAAATATTTTCGCAATGTGTTTTTACCTCTAGATTACAATAAAAAGGTTTTTAGGGATTTTCATTTTTGATGCAATTACTCTATTGTTTTTGTATCGATACGCCCTCTATCGTTATACCTGTCACTAATTTCTTTAAGTTGGCAAACATGTCTGTCACGATCTGTCAGTTCACGATTAAAAGATGGCCTGTACAGCTGGAATGTTCTAGTGTCTTGACATAAATCGCTTTTTTAGTGTTGTTTTTGCATTAAAATCAATCAAAATGGACTTTGGGTCTGTATTACATACCGCTACGAAAAATGAGAAGTCGCAACGCAAGGAGGTAAGCAGATTTATACGTTTAACAAGCTTATATCGCTTAACCCATATTTTTGTTGTAGATTAAATATTACAGCACGAAATTCGAGCCTCCTAAAAAGCAGCAGCGTTCGAAGGAACTGTCTGTGAACGTGAAAAAGTTTTTGGAGCGCAAAGAACAGGAAGAAAAACAGAAATTGGCCGAAGCTCAGCAGAGAAAAGAAGAACTGCTAGCGTTAAGATCGAAGGACAGAAAGGCAGTGAAAAGGGTGAATGTTATGCTAAAAAGAACCAAATCGGCGAATCAATCGGTTATCCAAGACGCGGTCGATGATAACAACACGGCAGTTACAATGGCGGGGCCATATCAACCAGATGAGGATGATTACGGTTATGTATCGCAAGAGGCTTCAGCGTATTACAACAAGTTAATGGAGAAGTACAGCAAAATGCCGGATGAGAAGAAGTTTGACTTCACCAAAAAAAAGGTGAGCACTAACCTCAAAAACACCAAGGATCGCGTAAAGGCCGCTTTGGAGCGCGAGCGGGAAGAAGCTTTGCTGCCCCATAAACGTAAAAGGAAAGCCAAGGAAGTGGAGAGTGATACCAAGGAGAGCAGTGCAAAGGAGGAGTACGATAAATATGAACCTGAGAAACCACAGGAGAACGTTAAACCAAAACCAAAAAATAGGCCCCCACCCCCAAGTTTAAATTTTGCCGAGTTGTTGAAAATAGCTGAGAAAAAGCAGTTTGAACCGATTGTTATAGAGCAGAAGGTGGATAAGGATGAGAGGTTGTTGACAAAGAAACAGAGGCGTGAGCTAGAGGAGGAAAGGATTTTGAGGGAGAAGAAGGAGTTGCGTGAGAAAGAGAGGTTGATGTATGCTAAAAAGCCCAAAGTTGGGGAGAAGTCTCAAAAAAGTAACCCTGATAGTGGTAGTAATAGAATACCAAAATTAAATGGGAATAAACCTGCTACAATGAGTCCAATTGCCAAAAATGCGTCAAAACTACAGAATGCCTTAACCAAAAGTGATAAAGAGAGAGGACCAATACCAACTAAATCATTTTATAACTCGAAATCCCCTCAAACGAGCTCAAGCAACCTCAATACCGCCAAAAAGGTTGAGAAAAAACCTCTACAGTTCAACTCTAAACCTTCAACGATTCCTCCGAAACCCAAAGAATTTCCGCCAAGAGATATGCAACCCAAAAACAGACCACCCATGAAAAAGCAATCCAGTGACCTTCGGCCGCAACAAACGTCAACTCAAAAACAAAAGCATCACGTACCCCCGCCGGACATGTCTCGCTTCCCGATGAAAAACAAAAAACCGGCGCTGCAGGTAAACAAGCGCCGCATCCTGGACGACGACGATAGCGAGTACGACAGCGAGATGGACGATTTCATCGACGACGGCCCTGACGACGAAGACGACTACTCGAAGCACATCAGCGAGATTTTCGGATACGATAAATCCAGGTACCGGGACGTCGAGGAGGATGTCGATAACATGGAGTCCACGTTCGCGCAACAGATGAAAGAGGAGGCCATCAGCAAAAAGATCGGTATGTTTCGAATCTCAAAAAAATATTACAGTTGGAGTAGTGAAACTTTGAGTCCAAAACGTAAAATAGTATATTTTTATTTCAACGGAAATAGATATGTGGCGCCATTTTGTATCTCAAAAACTATAACAGTTAAAGTAATAAGATTTGATATAATTTTTTAGTCTAGTTTCAAAGATTTCAATAAAAATATGATATTGGGCGCCTATTTGTGTCTCAAAAACTACACTGCTCGTCAAAATTAACGCATAACAAGTGGGTTATACAGAAACTATCATTTTTAATATAGTAATTTGAAAATAGTTTTTTTGTTCTAATTTATTTTTTAAGTATGCAAATACGACCTTTTGTTTAAAATAAACCCAGCAAAGTAAAAGATCAAACAGTTTAATTGTTTTTGTTTAAACTATATCCAGATCAATGGCAAGGCAAGCAGAGGAATTATTATTTTATTCAAAAAGGCAAAGGAATATACAATATAGCATAAAAACTAAATAAGTAATTAAAAATAAACCATTTTTTGAAAATGGTTCATGAAATAAAGCAGGTTTATATTTGTGTTCTTTTCTTTTTTTCTGTAAATATTCATGTTTCTCTTTCATTTTTAGCTTTTTCGTCCTTCAGGGCCTTTTCATATCTTCCTTTCACGCTTTAGTTTTCTTCTCATAATAATTCATTTTTATCTACAAAAATAGTCATTCCTCTGGGCCAGTCATCAGTCCTCTGGACCTTAATAGTCCAGAGGAATGACGATATCTCTGTTTATTTCACATGGGGAAGAAAATAGAACAAACCCTAACCTACAAATTGGTTTACAGAAAAGTAAAGCCATAAAAATATAAATAAACAAAATACACTTACCAGAGAAATAATCTGTCTGTGTGTGACATTAACAATTTTAAAACAAAACTTAAAAAAAACACGTGTTCTTTTGTGGCATCGCCATCTAGGATCATATATTTGGGTATCTTTTGCAAACCAGAGGAATGACCGCCAAACAGATTTTATATATTTTTTAACAAGGTGGTTTAAAAGTAATATATATTTTTAGCTTAGTTTTACTGATATTTCAGGGGTTTGAAATCAGTTACAATTAAAGAATATGAATAGTTTTTTCTATTCTGCCTTTATGTTAGACGTCTCCAGTTATAACATGCCAGTGGAATGATATTTTAACAAGATTTTTTTCTACAACTTAATAATATTAAGTATATTTTCATAAATTCTTTAGGAAGGCAGTATAGTTAATCTATATACATATGTATTTCTTAAAAAAAATACAATTGGAGAAAATAATTTGTTTAGTCAAAATTTTGACCAGTAACAGCAAAAATTATAGTTTCTATAAAATTACTTGTAAAAAAAAATTCAACTCTAAAACGCCTTTACCAATCTTTATAAAATTTTGTATAAAAATACTTTAACTTATATCTCAGTTTACGTGTTCAATGGTTTTCGAGAAATATCCTTAAGCCCTTATATTTAATAATAAAAAACGCTAGAAAAAAAACTTATAGGGAATTTTTTTGAAGTAAATAAAAAATATGCTGTGAAAGACCGTATATATATATATATATATTTTTGTTAGTATACCCTGAAAATGTTGTACAAATAAAACTAACGAAAATAAAGCGCTTCAAATGGCGACTTTTCAGAAAAATAATCAAAAAGGGGTCATTTTTACCGACTTTAAAGCGCTGTATCTTTGTTATTGTTTGTTGGATTTGTACAAGATTTTTAGGGTATACTAACAAAAATACGGTCTTTAACATCATATTTTTTATTTACTTAAAAAAATCCCTAAAAGTTGTTGTTTGAACGTTTTTTATTATTAAATAAAAGGGCTTTAAAAATATTCTCTCGAAAAACCCTTGAACACGTAAACTAAGATATAAGTTGAAGTATTTTTACAGAAAATTTCATAATGATTGGTAAAGGCGTTTTAGAGTTAGAATTTTTTTACTTATTTTGCTTTAATTTTGACGCGCAGTGTATATCAGTTAAAACCTCGTAATTATTGAAATAAATTAGTGGTTTCAATAATACTTATAATTAACACAAAACGATCATTCAAAATGCAATAAATTAACATCTAAAGTTACGGGAATTTGCTAAAAGATCGTCCATTCTTTTTAACCTGACAAAATAGTATATTATAATATACTTTTATACTATTATAACATTATATATACATAAATGTATCAAGTTTTATAAACGCCATTGTAGTTTTATTAAGCACGAGCGAAGCTTGCGACCGAGTGCTGTACTGTACTTTAAAAAAGCTAACTTCAGCCTGTGACTAAAATGCCCAAAAGCCACTGTTGCTAACACCAGCCTGTGACTAAAACGCCATAAAGTCACAGCTTGTCAATAATAGTATATAATTATATGATAATGATGCAATTTCAAAAATATTAATGCAAATATAATATTGGGCGCAATTTTGTATCTCAAAAACTGTAACAGTCAAAGTAATGATTTGGTATAATTTTTAAGTCAAAAAATGTACCAAAATTTCACATTTCTATCTTAACTAGTTTCTGAAATATTGACAAATTTACCAAAAAAATCAATTTCAACAATAAACGTTTTTTTATTTTTGTAGGTATTCAAGAAGATTTAGAGGATATTAGAATGGAGGAGGAACATAAAAAACGAAAAAAAATGTTAAACAAAAGAAGATAGCATTTTTTATTAATATTTCAATTTTTACAGAAAATGATCTTGTGATTTATAATATATTTACTTATATAAATAATAGGCTTATGTAATTTGTATATAATTTTATTCCTAATAAAATATAGGAAATACACTGAACATTTATTTATTATTTAATAAATTAATTAAACTTACCCTAATAAATGGAATTCATACATTGAAAAACTATGCTACATAGCAGTCATCAGAATGTTCTTCAGTTAACTTGGTTAAATTTTCTTGTATTTCCTTTGAGATTTCGTCAGCATTTGGGGCTTCAGAAATCACCCAGGTGTCTTCAGAGCTCTCAAATTTGTCCCTGCATATTGGACATGTATCATGACTTTCACTCCTAAAAAATTGTTTAAGATTGGATTTTTTATTTATTATTAGTAAGAAAATTACCATTCTTCTATACATTTGGTACAGTAACTGTGAGCACAAGGTAATGTTACATCTTGTTTTCTTTCAAAACAAATACAACATTCTGTGTTTCCCTCAATAGAGGTACTTTCCAGACTGCTCAGAATTTTTGATACATTCAAAGCACTAAAAAGATAGATCAAGACCCCGAATAAATTATTACAAAATTTTGAAAAAAATATATCTTACCTTTGTTCTGCAGCCGAATTTTGACTTTTAATAGTGGAATATATCTTAAGAAAATCCAGCAAATTAAATAACTTATAACTCTCTATTTTTTTGGAGTCTGGATCAAATTTTACACAAGCAATTTGTACAGTTGCCTTCCAAAATATTGTGGAATCAGTATTTTTCTTTATTGCAAAAACCAGCTTCTTTCCATTGGAATCGAGGGAATTTTTCAGTCTAAAACACACGAAAAACAGCATAAAAATGATACTTTAATCATGTTACAACATACATTTCATTTAACTCCTTTAAATGCACTAAAAATTCATCATAAGTCAATGTGCATATATTTTCCAGTAAAGGCGGTAGAATGTCGTCAATATGCGAAGCCCCGCTCCCCATTTTCAACAATTTTAAAACATGTCACACAATAAAAATCTAATTAAAACAAAACTAGACTTTTTGTTTACTTTTTAACGAAGCTGTCATCAAATTTTGACAGTCTGGAAACCATGATAGCCAACTGTTAAGGGAAAAATGATGAAAGCAGTGGACCCAACAGAGACTAGAGAAATAAAAGTTGTTTATTGGATAATATTAAGCATTTTATATAAAACAGCTGATTAAATTTAACAATTGTTATTAATATTATAGTTTTATTTTATTTATTTAAATAATTGTCTTAAATCATATTTTTGTATGGTTTTTTTGTAAGAAGAAGATTATTGAGGTTATGTGACTCTCATAACCTATAATTACAGCGTTTTTTATTCTTTTTAAAACAAAATGTTGTCGTCTAAGGTAATTTGATGCAAGTTTTATTATATTTCAATGATTGTATTTTTTTGCAGGTTAAGTTGATTTCAAATATTGCTCCTAAAGTTATTTTACCAAATTTTATAAGATTTAGTTCTTCAACCACAACAACTCAAGAACCACCTAGAATAGAAAAAAGTATGTATATTTGCAACAAAAAAGTACTTTTATATTAATTTAATACATTCTAGCAATCAATAATGTCCAACTTTTGGGCAGAGTAGGAGCCGATCCTCAAAAAAAAGGTTCTGAAGATCACCCAATAGCAGTATTCTCTCTTGCAACCCACTCAAATTACAGATACGAATCCGGTGAATTTCTACAGCGCACTGAGTGGCACCGAGTGGTTTGTTTTAAACCTGGTTTACGAGAAACAATTTTAAACTACTTAAAGAAAGGACAGAGAGTCCATGTAACAGGTAGAATAACTTATGGGGAAATAAAAGGTGAAGATGGAAGACCCAGATCAACCACAGCTATTGCTGCAGATGATGTTATTTTTTTTAACAGTGCACAATAAATTTAATTTTTTTTATTATTTCATTAAGGATCTGAGAATTATGTTTTTTATGTCAGTTTTAAAGTAAAATGTATTTAAAGGAAGCTTTCTTGGTATTTATTCACCTTTCCTATAATCTCATCTATAATCAAGCATTAACACCTTGTATATATCTTAGCCAAATGTATTTTCATAAAAAATACTAAAACTTTATTGAGACACTTACAATAAAAAAAAATGGCTTTAAATATTTCACTTTAGAACATAAATTAAGTAAAATTACAAAAAATTGTATTTTTTTAAACAAAAAACGTCCTAATTAAACATTTTTTTCTTACTTTTTTTCCATCCGGGGTATTTTTTGCACATTCCGGCATCACAGCACCATATGTCATTAGGTATTCCGCCAATCAGCGCGCTGCATTTTCACCCCTCGATTTTCGATTGGCGCGCATTGTGGCAGTTGTAACGGCTACTAGCAAAAAGAGCGCCTTGTTATTTTCTAGTTGTTGCGTTAAGTGATCAATGGTTGTTGTTTATTAAGTTTTGTAGTTTTTTATTTATTTAATTTAGTAGTTTTTGTATTCGTAGAGAAAATGTCGTTTTCCAAGTCCAAAGTTAAGCGATTCAATGAAATTAAACGTAAGTTTTTTAAGGTTACACTTGAGAGAGTTTATTTCGTTTTAAAAGCTTTTTTATACGTGAAACGTTGCTTATGATTTAAGGGTTGCTTTATTTGACAGTTCGTTAATTTGTGAAATTTTTTTGTTAATAGCTGTCACCCCATCGCCTGCGGATTACAATACAGAAAGAAAGAATAAAATTAAATTCGCGGTGATTCCTAAGAGTGGTAGATTTGTGGATGAAAGTCCGGCCCCTTCGGAAAATGGATCTACAAAGAGTTCGCCACCTTTCCGTACTGTATGTCAAATTTAATTGTCAAAACGTCAAAAATTGTTGATTTTTGTTTTTTTAGCCTACTTTGCCGAAAAAGAAGAAGTTCCTTACAAATTCCACAGCGAAAATGAAGTTGTTTGGTAATTTTTTGACTGGTAATACTAATATTAACGATAATGAACAATTAAGGGAAAAAATAGTTGAGTGTGACAATAAGGATTTGTATATTAAAGAATTACGTGAGCAAATGGATGAAATTAAAGATAAATTGTTAAAATTGGAACAGGAAAAACAAAAAATGGATTTGGATAGAACAGTGTATGAAGAACAAAGCATAATTCTTCAGGAAGAGTTTGAAAATAAAAGTAAGGAATTGAAAGAAAAACATGATGAAGAACTACAAATAATAAACAAAGAAAAAGAGGAAATTGATAATGAATTAAGGCAAATCAAAGAACAATGCCAAAAAATAAAAGAAGAACACAAAAATAACATAATAAAACTAAAAGAAAATATGGATAGATTCCAAGAAGTCTACAGTGACTCCATAGAAAAATACAACCATGAAATTGAACAAAAAGAAGAAACAATCCTCAAGCTCCAACAAACTCAACAAGACCTTCAAAACAAGCACTTTGAAGAAATTGACAGGCTGAAAAAAGAGCACAATCAAGAACTACAAGACATGGAGTTTGAGATGCTCAAAATTATGACAGAAGTTGAAAACAAAAAACAGTCAGTTTCCATTAAGATGAGGGAGTTTGAGGATGCCTTGAAAAAACAAATGCAGGATTTGACAGAGAGGTTTATTGAGGAAAAACAGATGATAATCATCCAATCAGAAGATCAATTAAAACAGGTGAGAACTTTTTTGACATTTAGCCTTTTACTTTTGGATTTTTTATAAATTGGAATGTTTTTTATATCTAATTTTTAATATTTTTTCTTCTAGATGAAGGATAATTACAAAGACGTCAATATTTTAATTGAAATGCAAACAAAAGAAAAATTGGAAGAATCTGAAGCAATTTGGCAGGAAAAATTTGCCGAACAAGAAAAACAATCTGAAGCAATTTTGAAGGAATGTCAAGCCATAAGTGAATACAGCATTATACAGTGTGAGTTGGAAAAAAATATCATCAAAAACGAACTTACCGACGCTGTAAAAGAAAAAACCATGATTGAAGAAAAATGTGAAGAAATCAACAAAAATTACGACGAATTAAACGTCAAATACGCAAATTTGGAGGAAAAATTAACTCTCATGGTTGAAGAACTGGAAGAAACTAAAGAAACCATTGAAAAGCAAAAAGAAGAAATCAAGGAAGCAACAAATCAGAAGCGTTGCTATCAGATCACCATGGCGACCTGCCAGGAAACAATCGAGGTTTTGAAGAAACGCCTGATTTCTTCCGATTCCGACGTGGAACAATTGAAGCAGGAAGTGATGCATTGCGAGGAAAAAAATTTGGAGCAAGAGAACAAGTTGATTCGACTGAAGGAAGATTTGAAACGGTCTGAAGAGCAAAATGAAGAATTGGAGTTGCAGTATGAATCTTCCTTGAGGATGAACGAAATCGAGATTGCTTTGATAAAAGAAGAATTGAATGGAAAAATTGAAGAATACCGCAGAAAAACAGAAGATTTCCTGGTTAAAACAAATGAAGAATGGAAGATCCTGGAAGATGCGCAGGAGTTGGTTGCTTGTGCGCAGATAGAAATCGAACATCTGGAACTTGAAAACGAAGAGTTGAAGAAAAGGGAAGAAAATTGCGCGGAAGTTGCGATTAAAGAGGAAGAAATCGCCGAGTTGAAGAAACTGTTGCTTCAAAATCAAGAAAAATGCGAATCTTACTCGCAGTACGTGGACTATTACAAAATGAAGATAAGCGAAAATGAATCGGAAATCGAAGAGTTATCGGGAATAAGGAAGAAATACATCGAACAAAGCGGAAGATACGACGATATTCTTCAAAAATTCGAAGCTGTAAAAACCGAAAATCTCAAATACAAAAACAAATTCAACACTGAAAAAAATAACTATGAAGAATTACTGAAGAAATTCCAGGAGTTACAGGCCGATAACGAAAACAACAAGAGGCTGGTCGAAGAGCAGCGAATTTTGATTGGTCCTTTCAAGGAACAGTTGGAAGCCTATGAGCTGGAAAAAGATGCCCTATTGGGCGAGAATAGGTGCATAGAAAGAGAAGCAAGGGATATTTCTTCAAAGTATGCAGACGTTTTGGGACATCAGAATCAAAAACAGAAGATCAAGCACTTGCATGCTCTAAAAGAAAAGAACCTGGAATTGTTACAGGTAAGCAAATGTTATTTTTTTAATTATTTCTGTGTTTTGACAATTTTCGATGTTTTTACATTTTTTTACATAGCAGGTAGGGTTTTAAAATTTCCGGAAAAATTGAGCCAGCGGAAAAAAAAAACGAAAAAATTGGGGAATTTTCGAAAAAATTTGCTTTTGCATTTTTTCATTTTATTCAAAAGGTAAAATGAAAAAAATGAAAAAGTCCATTTCCAAATATTTGGAAATTTTGAGAAAAATTGACTTTTTCATTTTTTTCATATTACCTTTTGAATAAAATAAAAAAATGCAAAAACCAATTTTTCTGAAAATTTTACAATTTTTTCGTTTTTTATATATTATTTTATACACTGCCCGTCAAAATTAACGCATAATAAGTAAAAAAATTCTAACTCTAAAACGCCCTTAAGGGCGTTTTAGAGTTAGAATTACCAATCTTTATAAAATTTTGGATAAAAATACTTTAACTTATATCTCAGTTTACGTGTTTAAGGGTTTTTCGAGGAAATATCCTTTTATTTATTAATAAAAAAACGCTAAAAAAACTTTTACGGAAAATATTTTTTAAGTAAATAAAAAATATGCTATGAAATACCGTATTTTTGTAAGTATACCCTGAAAATTTTGTACAAATCAAACGAACAGTAACGAAAATACAGCGCTTTAAAGTCGTCAAAAATGACCACTTTTCAGCAAAATAATCAAAAAGGGGTCATTTTTACCTACTTTGAAGCACTGTATCTTCGTTACTGTTCGTTTGATTTGTACAAAATTTTCAGGGTATACTAAAAAAAATATGGTCTTTAACAGCATATTTATTTACTAAAAATTTTCCCTTAAAGTTTTTTTGAGCGTTTTTTTATTATTAAATAAAAGGGGCTTTAAAAATATTTTATACAAAATTTCATAAAGATTAGTAAAGGCGTTTTAGAGTTAGAATTTTTTTTACTTTATATGCGTTAATTTTGACGCGCAGTGTATTATAATCATATAAGTATACACGATTATAATAATTATTTCTATTATTATAATTCGGTAAGAATCTTCTACCGGGTCGCAAAAAAATAAATATTTTGTAAATGGATATTTTCAATGGACTTCCTTTTGCAAAAAGGACCCAACTGACAGTTTACGTTTCTTTTCTCAAATCAATTTAATTTAATGTTTAGTTTTATTTGTCTTTTTTCTGTAATATATTTATTATCATCAAGGATATTTTTTAAATTAACAAAAAATGATGTTAATTTATTGATTGTTTTGTATATTTTCAGAAAAAAAAATAAAAATTTCCAAAAAAAAAATTTTCCAAAGCCTAAAAAAATAGATTCACGGAGGATAGAATCAATTTTTGTAACACCTACATAAATGGTTATAAAAATTATTTCTTTTAATTTTTAATAATATTTTGTATTTGATTCGATTGCTTTGGATGTGTTTAATTTACTTAGTGAACTGATATTTTTAGTATGCTTTTACTATCTCAGATATTTAAAAACATATAGGTTAACCTAGAAAGAGTAACAGTCACGGAGGATAGGTTTTGTAATTTTAAAACATTGTAAAAAATAATTAATTGCGGTTAAAAATCTGGAACCTGAGCTGTAATATCTACTTAATTATGAAAGATCAAAACACAATTCACCCATTTATACTTTTTGAAATTTCCATTTTTGTTTTTTTATAATTGCATGATGCAATTTGCATCAAATGCTTTGGTAAAATTTTGTCTTGACATTAAAAGAACTTTTTCTTTGTTCAGAGCAAAATGGACCTTGAAAAAAAGGTCAAAATTCAATCAAAAACCATGGAGAAACTTAAGAAGGAGAACGAAGATCTAAAAAAGTGCCTAAAAAAGTTCAAGGCGCCTGCCAATACGGACAAAGAGAACATAGGCAGTCCGAATCGCTCCCTAACATCGATGCAAATCCATTCACCAGGCCCTTTAAGAGAAAGAAACTGAAAATATTTACCTATTTCGCATCACTTTATTGCTTAAGTCACCTTTACGCGTACTTTAATTCTAGACAATTTTATTTACAGGTTTTCCGATACGTTGAGTTTAACTCTGCAGTGCAGAGACTCATAAGTTGGTTCTAAAACACGTTTTACCAAGGTGCAAGTTACAAGATTACCTTGTCCACTATGCACCTTGGTTTGCGTAAGTTTCGTAAATTTTAATTTATTGTAGTTTTAAGTACCTACCTAATTTAAATCATTTGAACTAGTCTTAATTTTCAAAGTTTCTACCAAAGTAGTTCCCCATTTTTTTTATTTATTGACCTCAGTTTTTTTAAATATGTATGTTTTCTTGAAAAGGCTGATTAGAGTAAAAATAAAATTATTTATCATAAAATAAATTAAACTATTAATAAATATTAAACTATTAAGAAAATTTGTTTTTTATTTCTTACCTTTACAGATTACCTCTAGCGCGTTATGCAATAACCAGTTACTTTTGCCTCTCCCTATATTTTAGGTGGATTTTTCACTCAAAATAGACAATTGTTTGGTTCTTAAAAGATTATTTATTAAAATTAGCTGTACATAAAAAAACATGTAAAATTATTAAAATACATTGTAAAGTGTAAATTTTACAAATAAAATCCCAGTTTATATGGACATAAGCTAATGAGTATCATATGAGCCAGTCAAATTTATATTTGACGTATATTAATATTATATAAGTTAAATACATATAAAACATCTACAGATAAATAATAAAATAATTAAATCTTATCTTTAGGAGACCAAAAAACGAAAATTAATGTTAGGCCTACATAAATACAAAAACTTCGGTGATTTTTGTTGAGAAAAACGTTTAAAAAGTATAATTTCATTGTAAAACAGCCTTCCAGTCTCAATATCATATAATAATAGCTTAGCACAGTCATTTTTGGCAACTGCTCCATTACATTACATAGTGAAATAAATAAACCCCCTTAAGTCTTGTCACTTAAGGGGGAGGGTCGCGCTAAAGCAATAATTTAATCCAGAGCTGCATAGGACAAAACCACGTTATTTTCTATCCAAAAAGCGCAATGGGAGTAAGTAGAGTTGGGTAAAACATCCTGCCCAACAACCAGCACTCTATTTGTTGGAGTGAAACCCCCCTCAATGGTGCCCTGCCACACGTAGTGATAGAAAAAGTTTTGCATCGCCGAAACGTATCGGCGCTGTTCGGGAGTTTTCGGCTCGTAGCGCCCCAAGATGGCGTCTACGTCCGAATCGACGTCGGATATATTTTGTACACCCCTGGGTTGAGTCACCACGTAGAAAGGAACGTTGTGCATTTGCGTGGTGATTGCGTACAGCGGGCAGACGGTGCGGATGTCGGATATCATCTCGGATAGACCTTTGTATGTTGCCGGGTATTTGCTTAAAGCGAGTTGGGTGAGGTTTTTGGCGGCCAAAAATGATTCTGTAACGTGTTTTTTCACCAAATCTTCGGTCCAGTTGGTGTGCTTCATCAGGAGTTTGTTTGAGGAGCCTGATTGAGCCGTACTGCCAATAACAAGCTTCACAGGTAAGTCTTTCGGCTCTGCCCATATGGTGGCAGGGTTTTCCTTTAATATAACCCCGTCAACCACCAACCACTCGTGTCTTTTCAGCGGTTGCTCGCTTGGTGAGGGTAAATCAGGCTGTGGTTTCCTCCATGTGTCTTGCACGGCTTGCGTCAACTTTTTGGCGTCCAAAGTTCTAAGACAGTCCACGCTATCGCACTGCAACCCTTCCAGGTAACTTTTGTTGTCGATTTCGTACTCTGCGAGTGGTTTGGTTGGGTATAAAGCCCCACCGGATGTAGCCCAAGCCCTGGCGAAATATTTATCAGCCCCTTTGATGGTAGCCAACGCTGTTACCAAAGTAGCCCCTGCTTTGTGCCCAAACAAGGTTACGGATGTTTTATCGCCCCCGAAATGCTCGATGTTCAGCTGCACCCACTTCAAGGCCTCGAGAATATCCGACAACCCGTAATTCCCCGAGGAATTGGGGTACTCGGACTTCGTCAACTGTTCCAACGCCAAGAAACCCAGCGCGCCCAGCCGGAAGTTGGGCCTGACGAAAACGACGTCCTTGCTCCTCGCGTACCTGGCGGAGGGGCGCATCTTGCCCGGCGAGCCGCCCATCAGGCTGTCCGCCCCGATGAGCACGATGACGGGGAGGGGGTTGTCGTAGCGGACCTTGGGGGTGACCACGTCCAACGTGAGGCAGTCCTCGGCGCCGCTGAGCGCGCCGGCGCCGTCGATCTGCAGGCAGCTTTGGGAGGCGTTGTGCGCCGAGAACGTGCCGTTCTGGCAGAATTCCTGCCGGTTTAGAGGCTGCGCGTGCTTGAAGCGCAGGTCGCCGACGGGCGGCCGCGCGTACGGGATGCCGCGGAACGCGAAAGCGCTGTCTTCTAGCATTCTGAAATTGAGAAATTTAAAAAAATATATTTACTTTGTTTTATCCGAGGGGTCACCCAAACCTGGGAATCCCTGGACATTTTAGAGGGAGAATACCATAGGAATGCAATGGAAATACATAGGAATACAATAAAATATAATAGGAATACATGGGAATCCCTGGACGTTTTCCCTTTGGGTGGTTGACCCCTCGGTTTTATCAAAGTTTAATGTTTATTGATAATAAAAATACAGGGTGTTATAGCACGCCGTTTCACTTTTTAATCGGATAAGAAATACTAAGTTAAATATTAATACTTTAAAAAATAAATTGCAGTGGAAAATAATACATGTCAAAGAAGTTATTATTTTTTTTTTTAAATGTTTATATAAGATGTTGAATTAATTTTCTGGGTGCAATATTTATATTTAATATATATATTTACCTTAATATTAATTTGGCGCTGCGAAAGTGTGGCCGTAAGTGGCAACTGCAGTAGTTCAAATGATAGGTATGTTTAATTTATCTACGTCATATAATTATATAACAATTCAGTTACCATTTTCTATAAAATTTACTGAGGATTGTGTTCTTTGAATAAAAAACCTCAGGAAGGACCCTGCCGAATTTCGTTAATGTAAAAAATTTACGACGGAAGTCGCCATTTTAGGAATCCGATTATGAGTCATTTTTTCTGACAAAACACGAGTTGTTTCATAGGAGCGTTCTTCTACGATTTATACTAGTCACAAATAAATTACCTAAAGTTTATTCAAATCCAAGCTGGACTAAACAAAAACGCCCAGACGCGTGATAACTCGTTTCTATTGGTCGATTCTGATGGTGTGACTCGGATTGTGAGCTCTTATTGGTCGATTCGGTGATTACATTTAGTCCAGCTTGGTTTTGAATAGACTTTAATTATCTATAATAAAGAAAGTACCTAAATCGTTGCCCATCTTTAAAAATGCCATAAAAACTTACCTTGTAAACAACTGTTTTTACTCCTTTAATGAGTTCTTAAATTTTACCGACTAATTAATAATATTTACGATTTTTTTTTACCCATTTAAATGTTTACTAAATGTATTAAATGTTTATTTATTTATCAATTTATTTATTGTATATCATATGACTGTTTTATGACTAAATTTAACATTAATGTTTCACCTTGTTTTTTTTCCTCGTATTTTGACGTTGTTTATATCATGTATGATCTTATTAGCAATAAACATATTAATATTATTATCTCTTGGCATATTGGCGTCTTCTCCTTCTTCTTCATTGGTGGCCAAAAGCCGTAATGGTCTCGGTTTCAATCTTAGAAGAAAAAATTGTTCTTTCTTCTAAGGTTTTAATGTTCATACGCTTCACGATTTTCCAAATCTTGGATCATCCACTCAATGAATTGTACAAATCACAAAATACCTTGGTAAAATGTCAAAGCTTGCGATATTGTCCAAAAATGAAGGTATACACCGTATATATTTCTATACCGGGTCCCCCATTTTAGCCCTCTAAAATATTGGCGCCAAAGTTGACGTAGATAAATTAGGCATAAATACCTACTATGCATTTGAACTACTGCAGTTGCCACTTCCTGCCGCATTCCCAAAGCGCCAAATTAATTTTATGTGTAAGCTCCATGCCGTAGACATAAAATTAATTATATAATTTTTAATGTAATGTAATAATTTTAATTGTAAAAATTAACATAAAAATTCACTGCATTAATTTTATGTGTATTTAAATTTGGACATTTTTAAGAAATCCAACAAAAAATAATTGTTGTTAAAACATAACCTTAAAATCGAACATTTTTATATTTGAAACTAAAAAACGCCGACAACTGCATTTGAATGTTTGAATTTAGACGACTTGATTTTTACTGAATTAAAATGTTTACAATTTTCACGTCAATCATCACTAAAATGTGTATTTATTGTATCTAATAGGTACCTACAATTTATATTTACATATAAAAAAACTCACCCTTCAACTTTCCCGCAACCTGTGATGGTCTCGATAAAACGGCCATCTTTGATCGGAGGCGACGCTGGGTATGATTTTCCGGGAACGGCGATAATAATTATGATGATTATGAGAAGAATAAATAACAACAGAGCACCTAAAAAAGTCTTATTAGTACCTAGATAAGATAGCTTTATTTGAAAGAAATTACTTATGGCAATTCTGTACGCCATCAATTTTTGCCTCCATGTTTGTTCCGGCACTTCAGTCTCTTGTTTTTCCGCGTCTTTTTCGTCCTTGCTCTCTTCTAGGTCGACCTTTTTCAACTCATTTTGGCTTTTATCGTCCAAGGTCTCCATAGACGCCAAACCGGCCTGCGCTGATTGGTCCAAGGGTTGATTTTTTTTTCGCGATAGAACCGAAACAATCGGTATACGAATAGAGTCTATTAAACTCTTTTTTTCTTTTGGCTCTCCCGATTTGTCAGCTTAAATAATAAAAATTGTTCATAGAAATACGACGCCATCTATGTATCAAATATCAAAGTTTTTGACAGTAAAAAAAACTTTATGATCTGTGCAAGAACACTATATAATCTGTGGTAAAAAATTGAATAAACATTATGTAGGTTTTTAATAGAGATTAAATTATGAATGACTTCCTATTATATTCTAAAAATAGTTCTTACATCTTCAACAAAGTTGTTGACACACTAAGCATAAAAACTTACCATCTTCAGAAGCACTTTTTTTCGAAATATTCAAAAATCCTGGCAGTTTAATTTTACGCTTTTGATTTTCTGTTGTTTCCTTGTTTTCTGGTTCCTTATTAATTAATTCAGTTCCTTCCACTTCAGCTTGTTCAGCATCCTCCTTTAAAAAGTAATAAACTATATTAAGGCATGCCGTTTCACTTTTTAATTGGATAAGAAATATTAGTTAAATATTTGTATGCATAATTTTAATTCGAATAAAAAATAATACAATTAATTTTATGTGTACACATACAATTATTGCATTGATCTTTTATTTTGTAATTAAAATTATGATTATGTAATAAAAATTTTACAATTAATTTTATGTGTACAAATAAAATTATTTCATTAATTTTTTTGTCTACAGATAAAATTAATTTGGCGCTGCGAAAGCGCGGCCGAAAGTGGCAACTGCAGTAGTTCAAATGGTAGGTATGTTTAATTTATCTACGTCAAATAATTATATCAAAAAAGTAGAACCTTCTAATAAAATTAATGCAAATAATTTATATGTTACAATTAAAATTATGACTTTAGATAATATAAATTAAATAATTAATTTTATGTGTAGACATTAATTATATAATTTTACGTGTACAGATAAAATTAATTATTTAATTTTTATTATCTAAAGTCATAATTTTAATTGTAACATATAAATTATTTGCATTAATTTTATTTGTACACATAAAATAAATTGTAAATTAAAAATGATTGTCGTGATATAAATAAGAAATTGCAACTTAAAAAATAATAGAATAAAATAAAAAAATCTTGTTTCAACAAAAAAAGTTCAACAATGTTTTAAGTTTCATAATAATTCCAATATATACTTCAAATTAAAAAAATTAAAAACCGCATACGAAATAAAAATGGACCAACTTTAAATGTTTAGAAATATTCGTCAGGTAAAATATTTAAATGTTATCAAAAAATGCGTATTAAATTAAAATGTATCATAAAAATAATTATTATTATGCCTAAACATAATAATAATTCGCTATTTTTCCTATATTTTTCCAATAAATTTAAATTAAATTTATGCTTGACATAATTTTATTTAATTATTATTATGTCAGACATAATTAAAATTATAAAAAATTATATATTCCAAAATTTTTAAAAACCTACTTCATTTTTCTTTTTCATTTACGATTAAAAAGTAAAATGGCGTGCCATACTATAGTTTTTTTGGAGGGAAATACATAGAGATGTGAGATTTCCGTTGTAAATATGTAGGTTATGTTATTATTTATTTTATGGTTGAATTCATGGAATCAAACATAAAATAACAATAATTGGAAATAGAAATGGAATTAGGTACAGTGAAAGTTGATGTATTTTATTGAGTTTTAATGATGGTATAAAATAACTAATAGTTGTAGAGAATTCACAAAAAATTTACCAATAGAAATTGGGTCAATTATTTCCACTGAAAATTTTAGTATAAGTATAGTAACCTTTATAATCTGAGGCATAGTTACAGACCTTTAAAATTGACCAAGATCTTGACTTTTTTACGAAAAAAAACAACCTAAATCTCGGTCTCGTCTATTTTCGGCCGAGATCTTTTTATATTTATCTGATTTTTTAAACTTTGTTATGTCTCGGTCTCGGCCGAGATTAAAAAATCAGGGTCGGTCGAACCTTAATAATTATATCACTTAAATGACCAAAAATGTATTATGGTTAAAGGTGGTATTATAATAATTACTATTATTGTTGGTACCTAAGTATACCCTAAAAATAAATTAAAATCGGCATACATTTGTTAAAGAGCCATGAAATAAAAACACAGTTTTTTAAAGAAGCAATGAAATAAATTGGTTAATTTTAAAGCTCTTTTTCTACAAAATTAAACCAACCGAAATTTTTAAGATACCTACCTATAAACAAACACGCTATTTACAAAGCAAATTGATTGATTTTTTCTAACAATAATTGACAAAAAGATATTAAAGGTTTTCAAAAGTTGTGCATGTAACAAAAACAAAGAAAGTTTAGGTTAATTTTACAGCTCTGTAACTTCAAAAAAATAGTTGGGTTTTAATGAAATTTTAATGATATATTAACAAAATTACCCTTTTTCTAACACAGTTAACAGCTTTTTATAAAGCGATTTTAAAGAAATTTCCTAAACCATGCATTTTGGGTGTTCTACGTTAATCCTGAAAAATCCTAATCCACCCTTTTAGGACTTCTCAATTTAAGTGCGTAGTTACGCGTGAAAGTTAAAAATACCTTGCATTTATCCTTGGATTTGCTTCTGGTGAAAAACCCAGGCATCTGAATACCTCCAATAGGTATTTTCTTTGGCTTCATCTCCATACTTTCGAGAATTTCTTTTTTCTTGTCTTCAACCGATTCGGTTGCTTCTGTAACCGGCTTTTCCTGCGCTTTGTTTTCAACGTTGAGCATTTTCTCGCGTTCCTCCATTTCAATGTCTTTCTTGTCCTCACTTTTCACTTCCTGTATGTCTTCGCCCTCTGTGGTCATTATGACTTTATTTTACGGTAAAAATCACTATAAACAGCATAAACACACTGTAGACTGGCCGCTAGACGCCGGACTATTGATTTTTATTCAACCCTGGGCGCATCAACCCCACGCAACGATTTGTCACCACACCAAAAATTATCGGGCCTTATTTTAACACACTTTTCGCGGTTTTTACGTGTACTTAACGCTAAAATTTGTTTGTATACAATACAGTGTTTGTAGCGAGCACGTTAACAAGCAAAACAAAGCGTCGAAGAATTGAGAACAAACACCTCACCCCACCACAATGACCCTTTAAACCATGGGCGTAGCCTAGAGAGGGGATCGAGGTAATATTTTAATGCGGGGATTTGCGATTTTGGGTTTTTACAAGGTTTAAAATCTGGAAATAAGAAATACACACAACAATATTAATAAAATGCACAAAATGCACGAACTAAGAAAATCCATTACTTATAACTTTCTTTAAAATCACTATGTTTGAAAATCCATTTTTTTGTTTAAATAGCTCAACAATTTTATCACAAATCCAAATAATTTTGTAAAAGTTATAGGGGATTGTTTTCATTGTTCAAAAATATATTTTATTTGTACCCATGAAAATTATAATAGATATTTCTCAAATTACTTTATGAAAAAGCGTAATTTTCTTTATTTACCTTATAAAAATTTGAATATTTTTTACAAAGCCTTAAAGCCAAACAAAATTTTTTCATTGCTTTGCACAATTTAAAAATCCATTACATATCTTTTTTTAAATCTTAAAACAAAAAATGTATAATTTTTCCAAACATTATTTCCACTAACGCCTTAAAAACTCATTAATTATACCCTTGGGACCTTATTAACCCGTATCGGTTACGTCGTCAAGAGTTCTAGACATTAAAATTAAACCAGATGTTATTTTAAGAGAGATCCTCCAAAATAAAAAAAGACGGCATTTCTACACTTTTTTACAGCGGCATCTGGTCGGAAATATTCGCTTTTTATTGGTGGAAAAGAGAAAGAGACCGTTAGAAGTCAGTGGCGTATCAAACAGTTTTTATTTATATTTAAAACCGAGTGAAAATCCTTATCAATAAATTAGTTTTTTCGTCGTTTTATGTGCAAAGCACTTTTTTACGATTTTTAAGTTTTGAGGCATTTTAGTATTTTATATAGGTATTAAAATTCGTATTTACAGCACTGTTTTTGAGATAGGTAAAATATAAATAAATGATTTTGTTATGTCTTTGAAGTAGTGGAAGGGATACATATAAAACGAGCAAGCAACTGCGTATTTATATAATTCATACGACTTTCGACTTTCTGACGAAAATCTCTGCTAACCGAGTTACCTCGTATATTCTTATTTTTCCATTACCCTCGTACTAGCACAAACAACAAAGAACAATGGGGGATTAATTTTGCAGTTGGTAGTGGTTTATATCGACTATTTACGGAAATCTACTAGGCTTATTCAACAAAAATACGGCATTTTACCCCACACGGAACACCAATTTAACACCCCGCAGGTAAAACTGAGTAGATTTTGCTTCATAAGTAGTAAAAATATCCTGCAAAACTTTTAGAACATCGTTTATTACTTTTGTTGTTATTTTATTTAGGGACTACCATAAATCACTGCCTCTTGTTTTGGTAGCACTGCAATTTGACAGTTAAGGGTTACATTTTTTATTAATTCAAATGTGTTGGTTTTTTTTGCGTTTTATATGTTAAAATGTCGTTTAAAACAAGGAATAGTGTTAGAAATAAAGACTTGGTCGATAAAATATTAGAACAAGGTCAACGATTAAGGAATTCCATGGTTCAAAGTATATTAAATAATGATCCCTTATATGTTGATAGTAATAAGCACTATAATACGCCTGTGAGCTCTGTAGAACTCCATAAGCATGTAGATACGAGTCAATTTGACGATAAAAAACTTGAATCTTTTTTAAAAGGCGATTATTTGTCCAGGGAAGATGAAAAGATAGCTTTAGACACATTCCGATCTATGTCTGATGTTGACCTGTGTAAAACAACAGAAAGAATGTACAGTGCGAACAGCAGAACATGTAGTTGCTCTACGTGCAGAGACTACCACTCAAAAGACTTAAATTGTGATATTAAACGTTCTAAAAGTGATAAAAACATATCAATTAGATATGAAAACGAAAAGTATTTTAAATTTGTTGATTCTTTAAAAGTTACTGTGCATAGTTTAGTTTTAAATGGGGCTGGTTCCAGAAAAATATGTGATAAAAATGTGCCTTTAGGGGAGACTTATTTTTTAGAGTACATTGTGCCTGATTTACTGCAAAAAAATGTCGGGTTTGTTAAAAGTAAGGTTAACAGTGGGTTAGATACGAATTCTGTGAGGATATGCGCCAAAAAAATATGTGGAGAAGGTTTTTATACAATTTTAAGAGAATAATTATGAAAAATTACATTTAAACAATTTTTAGGCATTAATTTTAAACAAACTACACTACACGATATTACAAACATAGAAAATATAAACCTACACAAATGCGATTTAAAATTCAAAATAACGTACAAAAATAACAAACAAAAAACATCAGCGTTGCTTGGTTATGCCATTTTTCACTTCAATTGTTTTGAAGTGTCAAAAAATTTGACATCTAGCCGAGGTTTATCAATTATTTTAAACGAAAAAACGCCAATTGTTTTGGGTATTTTAAAGGTATCATTGCAATTAGGTTGTGGAAGATTATATTTTGGAAAAGAATTTATAGGTAATTTTTATTTTTTTCCCAAGTATCCTATGTGCAGTATAATACTTCTATGGTTATTTTTTTTATATGTAAAGCAAGTTTTATTTTAAATTAGATAAAAATTTAATTGTAAAAGGCTTCTAATTACGCAATTTTTCTCTAATTGACCTATTCATAAAAATATATTCATAAAAGTTTACACATAGAAGGATACCTGTATATGAAAAGGTCGTCTTGTTAATACCTTGTACCTTTTTTACCTTGGGGTATTACGTCATTGATTTTTAGACGCCATTAATGATGTTAATTCTTTAAATTTGGATAGTGATGATTCAGAAAAATCGATTAATAGGTTGGATTATAGTAAAGATTATGTACAAGCTGAAAAAACAAATATAAATTGTAGAGAAATTTACAAAAAACCTAAAACACCAGTTAAAAATGTCAGTATTTTCGTAAATAGGCAAAAAGCATTGGATAAGTTAACTAAACCACCTCAAAAATCACCATACTTAAAAAAAGACGACAACGTGTTAAAATCAAACAACTTAAATATCATAAATACTAAAAACAGCATAGAACTACCCATATCAAAACAAGAGGTACCAACTTAATTCAACCTAGCATTCTCTCATTTATTTTAAGTGAATATTTTTTACAGAAAACAATCCTCTTTGGTTTTCTCTATATCGCCGAGGCTCAATATTTGACAGGTCCTCTGACGTCATACATAACCTGTCAACCGTTCTGTCAAAATGAAACGTCAAACAGCAGGTTAGCCGTCCAAACGTCAAACCCGGTGTTTAATTTTTGTCAGGTTGGTATCGCATAAATAACGTTTTTAAACTTTGTATAACGTTTTTAACACTTTTCAGACGATTCCACTAGTTTTCAACGACGACCTCCTACTAAAATTAAGGGAAAATTATACTCTGGTAGAATTTTTCAGGAGATTTGAACAACAAGATTCTGTTTTTGGCCTAACTAAAATTCCTTTACAGCAATTTTTCATCGCCTATAGAAATCCCGTCATAATAAAATATTTGGAGAAAAACAAGGTGAGTTGCAATACAACAAACGTAGGTAGAAACGTTAAAAATTGTTTTACAGTTTCCTGTAATAGGCACTGATTGGTGGGAACCCATACTTCACCATTCTACTGAGGAAGTTATAGGGCAGGTGCAAATTTTGATAGCTCTAGGTACAGAGGGGCAAATAAAAAATTTGGAGGTTGAACGGGGGTTTAAAAATGATGTCGTTAAAGCTAAACTAAGTTTGCCGGAGTTGACTATTAAAAAACCCAGGGATATATCCGTACAAACTTCAAGGAATATTGCGTTTGGGAGTTATAGGGATTTTTTGAGGAACAATCAAGTTTCTGAAGTTAGGACTTTTAGTACTACTTTTAGAGAGCAAAGTACGAATACATCAGTGCAAAATACACCTAGATTAACTAAAATAACACCCAAAAAGTATAGGGAAGAATCTACAAATACTAGTTATCCAAATTCACCTAGGAAAACTGCAAAAGAAACAACAGAAGTTGGAACTCAATCTGATACAATGGACAAGGAAGATATCAACAGTAAACTCCCGGAAATGCTTGAAGGTTTCTTCAAACAAATGAGGTTAGCCAATACAAATGCACCACCGGAAGTTAACCCCACCACAACCAACGGTAACGCCCCTCCACTGGCGTCCACAAATCAAAATCCTGAGATTCGTAAAACCTCAGATTTACTGAGTTCATTGCAAAAGGTTTTAAACGAACCACCCTGTAGCACCTTCAGAGCGCATATTAACATACAGGGCGCTCTTCATCTACCCGCCAGAAAAAAATGCCGATCCAAACGGTCAAAATGCAAAAATGACGATAATATTTTGCCTAGTACATATGTAACTTTCGAGGGTCGAAACGAGAAGGATTTGAAAATAACTCACGTCGTTTTAAAATCATCCAGCCCCACCTGGAACTACAATTGCGACGTTGTCTTATCCAGCGATCTATTGGTTAACGTAAGCTATTATAAAAATGTATAAACATTGCTACATATGTTCATTTTAGTGCCAAAAACGTCTAATATTTAAAGTTTGGCGGAAAAGTACCAACACCAATTCGGCGCCCAACATGCAGTCAGATTTGGTGCTCGGTTTTGCCGCTCTAGATTTGACAGTTCTCTTGGCAGGGTTGCCAAATGTACAGGGGTGGTTTAACATAGTTGATTTTACGGGAAAATGCAACGGTCAAATAAACGTAAGTATTTTAATATGTACAGTTGCGGAAAATAGTACAGTTACGGAAAATAGTAATGTCCATTTGAATGCTCCATTGTAATTGCTCGGAGACATTCGGGTTTTGGTAATATTTATTTTTAAACTCAATAATTCTACCTACCTGCTATTTATCATTCTTTCTACGCACATTTCATTTGACTTTTAAATTTTTATGCAATATTTAAGGAATAAAATTAATTTTAAAATAATTTAAATATAATATTTGTTCTATAATGTATTTAATAAACTACATGTTATTTAATTAGTTGTTATTAATAAAATAATATATTTAAATGGTAATACTAAAATAATTATAAACTTTTGCATAAATTGTTAATAACCCTCTTTAATGTATTTACCTTTTTATGTGATTTTTTTGTTACCTAGGCAATTTGAATTATAATATTTACTCTATTTAAATTAAAGCCATTAAAATTTTAAACTAAAATGAATTTTGTGCTTATAAATAGAAATTCACTTTTAATACGTTTATCAACATTTTAGTTTTCATTTTTTGGAGAGACAATCCAACAGGAGCCACATTCCCTTTTAATAGTTTTTAAACATTTGGGGCAATCTGCTGTATGTACATTTTTGGCCAATATTTCATAATAAGTTAAAATGGATTTATCAGCTATTGCATGTTTGCTCCATATTTGTTTTATGAAATTACTGCCCAATACCAACTTATTTCAATGTATAAAAATCCAATATAATATGAAAATGGCACAAACTTCCCAAAGGCTCTAAGTGCCAAAAATAAAATTCTGAGTAATCAATGAAAATAGTAGATAAAATAAAAAATAATGTCACCTAGAGACTATTTTTAAATAATAATTTAATATTTGACCAAATTGGGTCTAAACCCTTTGGGAATACCATGCTTCAATTATAATTTTTTCAGGAAAACTAAATTTATGGTAAAATTAAGTAGCACCTTTTTTAAGGAAATATTCTGTTAAATCAATGCGCAAAGAAAGCGGCATTTTTATTTAAAAAGAAGTGTTAAATAATTATTAATGTTATTTACCATTTAAAAAAAATAAAAATGCCGCTTTCTTTTCCATTGTTTTAGCAGAATATTTTCTTAAATAAAGGATCCTACTAAATTTTACCATGAATTTAGTTTCGCTGAAAAAGTAGGAAAATCTGGAAAATTTCTATAAATTCAACTTTTACCTTGAATACCTTTAGTTAATTTATCATAATAATGAGATACCTTTTTTGTAAAGCCTTCAATTCCCTACAAAAATTTGTTTCAGTTTTATCAGACTACTAAAGCATTTTAAAAATTGAGAGGTTTTTTGATAAATCCTAGTATATAATTTAAAAATATACCAAATATAAAAATTCTAAATATATTTTTTTAATTTTAACACATAAACGTGCAACAAGTAATAAAATGTGCTTTTATTACTATGATGTAGAATAGTGTTTTGAATTATTGCTAGTTCTCAAAATTGTAAAGTAAGTTTTAAAAAACTACAACTTAATAATTTTATTTTTAGCCTAAAGTTCTTTTTAAAAGTTTTTCATAGAATAAATGTATAATTTTTATATTTCAAAATATCCCTAAGATGTTGACTATTTCCGAAAGCTTCCGAACAGTTACAATCGAGCATTCAAATGGACATTACTATTTTCCGTGACTGTACCTAAAGAATAACTTCATTTAGATACATGTCAATCCCCTGGAAAACTTGTCGAGGTTCCAACAAGGCTCCTCATCATCCACAGAGGCTCTAAACGATTTTGACTTATTCAGTTCGCTGACAAACGACAATAATACTCAGGGGGACACCCTTAGTAGAGCGGTGAAGCGTAAATTCACCGAATTGGAGGAAATAACGCGTCGGTTAAGATCCAGACTGTCCACAGTCACAAACGATGAATCCGATACATCCAATGATGATGTAGCAGATGAGTTTGAAAATGACATCAACACTTTGTGCGTGGAAGACGACTTCGACTTGATCAATTTCGAAGAAGAAGCCACTAAATTCAGTTTAAACAGAAATAGTAAAGATAGCAAAGAAGAATCAACGCTTTCTTTTGCTTCTTCCAACGCGGAAAATCCTTCTTCATTGGATCGGGATTTGGATCAAGGCAAGCAAAAAATCGACAATCTACTGCAAAAGATGTCGTTGCTAACCGGCGATGCCACATTTCAAAACCGATATGTTTCTGGGTGTTCAACTACTAATGACAATAATACTAATTCAGATACTGAGTTTCTTCTTAGAGATTTGCCGAAGCTAAGTAACGTCTCATCATCTGATTTGGATACGTTTTCAAGTAATACAAGCACTGATCTAAGAACTGTGCCTGATGGGCAATTTACTAAAAACCCCGAATAGTTTTAAGCAATTTAAAGCATAATTTTTAAGTCCCAATTATTTTGTGACTATTATTTGTAAATTTGACTATTTTATTTTAACTATAACTTGTATTATGTAGGTTATTATAAATTGTTTATGACTTTATTTATTTTGTTACAATAGTGAAATTAATAATTAAAATAAAATATTGTTTTATATTTCCTGAGTTTTATTTAAATATACACTTAACAAAGCAATGTAGAATTTTGGTAAATATTTGGATGAAGCATCCCAAAATCCTTGCAATTAAGTTAAACAAAACCTATTCAAAAATTATATCAATTTTAAAATAATCCCATAATCCAAGTAAGATGATGTAGCATTTTGGGTAGAAACAAAAATTAAGGTAAGTGATTCATAACTAAAATTGAAATGATTTAAAAATCAGAGTACTCAAATCCATTCAGTTATATTGCAAGAGATGCAACAGTAAGAGAGTCATATAAAATGAAATTGACTATATCTCAAAAACTGCTCTACTTTTTTAACTTTTGATGACATTTTCGGATTCAGCGGACAATTTTACAACTGCATTTTGAAATAGTAAAAAAAAGTATATACGAATTCATGACAACATAATATACAATATACATATATAATACCTGTTTTTGGTCTTTTACCGTTGAGTGAAGACTTTCTTTAATAATTTATAATGCTGTTTGCATTTAGACGATTTAAGTATTTGTTTTATGATTTTTACTGAACTTAAATGTTTACAATTTTCACGGAAATCGTTAAAAAAATTTATTAAAAATACCGTAAAAATTGGGAAATTTTCAGAAAAAAGGGCTTTTGCATTTTTATCATTTTATTCAAAGGGTAATACGAAAAAATGCAAAAGTCCATTTTTTTGAAAATTTTGTTATTTAACTTTGTAAATTATTCATTATTTTGTAATTGGATATTTTGCAAAAAAGACCCAACCTACAGTATATTTAACATTTACAGTCCGTTCAGGCTAAGTTGAGCGCTTTGGTGGGGGATCATGTGGCCGTTGATTAATTTAAATATCGAATCGTCGCGAGATTTCGGTAACAAGAAGATGATTTATCAGTGCCGCCATTTGCCGTTTGTTAATACAGAGCGACTACCGAAATACATGTATTTAATTGTGCCTGAACATAGAGATGATGGACGGGGTGACATTCCTTAGACCGCTCAACTTAGCCTGAACGCACAGTACGTTTACGTTTATTTTCTTAAATCAATTTAGTTTCATGTTTAGTTTCATGTTCGCACGTTACTTTGGTGGTAAGATTTTTGTTTTTTTGTTAAGAGCTGGGCTGTGTTTAAATTACAATAAAAAATATTTCTAAAAAGTGTACAGATAAGTGTGTGGTATAAATGTGTTCCTCATGGTTTAAAAATCACTTTAATGCGTTTTAATTTTAATTCTGAAAACAAACAGTAAAATTGACAGTGGCCAATTACTGGTTGGTAAATAATGTAAATTTCTATTATTATTATATCATATCATACTCTATTTATATCCCGGGCATTTACCAGCCAATTCCTATGTAAAATTGTCCCCTGAATCCGAAAAGATCGTCAAAAACTATAAAAGTTAAGCAGTTTTTTAGATATAGTCAATTCCATATTATATGTAAAATTGATTATATTTCAAAAACTGTTCTACTTTTATAACTTTTGACGACATTCGGATTCAGCGTATAATATTCTATAGGAATTGACTGCTAAATATCCTGGATACAAATTGCTGTTGACGAGAATTATTAGTGGCTTCTTTTTCGCTATGACATTTTTGACCAATTCATTTTTGGAGAGTAAGTAATATAGTGATTTATTCGTCACAGGACATCTTGCAGAATAACAGTGATTTAAATACAGAGAACATTAAAAAATAATAGCAACAAAATTAATAAATTCGGAAAATACTTTTAACATACCACCCGAAAAATATTAGATATATATAAATCATCCTGTTCCGGCCTTTACATTATAAAAGCTTCACAAACTAGAGACACCACACTTAATGATATTTGCAACAAACTATTTTAGAAGTTAGACCAAGGAATTAGTAGTTACTTTCAGAATCCAGAAAAGGGATGAGGAATCCGAGAAAGAAATTTATGAATTATATGATATTTACAAAAATGAAATAAAAAAAAATTACCTAAAACAGAAATTTATCTTTAAAAAAATATTTAACAATTTATGTTATTTGATGTAAAGTTGTTTATTTAAAAATTGTATGTCGAATTTTTCCAAGGCCTGGGAAAAAATTAAAATCTTCTGTTACTTAATAGTCTATAGTATAGGACCTACTTACCTACATGCCAATTTCACAAAAAACACACCACAATAAAAATTAAGCCACTTTTATATTAAAATTGTTTATATATAAAAGAACAAATATATTAAATATAAAAGAACAAATATATTAAATACACTGAAAGTGTAATTAAGTCAACACCAGAACTACCATAGATTTAAGAATCTAATATTAATAGAAAGTAAGTAACGTAAAGATTTATAAGATTTCTATTACCAAGTTATTAGTTAACATTTAACTCAATAAAACTACACACTAATTCATAAGTTGTTACTAATCGCCGCTAGATTTCTATTACCAAGTTATTAGTTAACATTTAACTCATTAAAACTACACACTAATACATAAGTTGTTTAAAAATAATACATGATGAATTAGAATTTCTCCAACGAACCATATTTTAGAATCAAACTCACATTATGTGCGCCCTATTCTAAGTTGTAGCTCGTTAGAAATTAACCAGTTACTTTAACAGTTAACGACCATTTTTCTCAGTGTATTAAAAAAAACAAATTCATGGGCTTTGAAGGCAATATTTTAAAAACTACAAAGGATGTAGCATTTTGGGTAGAAAATTCGGATTCAGCGCTCTAAAACCCTTAATATATAACAAGAAAATCTCACACCATAACAAACATTAAGGTAAATGATTCATAACTAAAATAAAAATGATCTTAAAATCATAAAACTTTATTAACATTAAAACCATTAAATTTAGCATACCTTCAATACAGTAACATTATAAATTCAAATCATAAATAAAAAAATGGCGAATGCTCCAACTCTAACAAAAAATGGTGAATGCGCCTTTCAAACCCGTGAATTTGATTGCACTCTACACACACAATTAGCCTCCGTGAAAGAGAATAATACGGCAAAGTACACAAAGTAAAATAAAAAGCTGCGTCGGCGAATATGAAATCTTTTTCTTGGAGTGGCCATCATGTCGCGTGCGCGAGCTCGAGCACCTCTCGAAAACCGCGGACCACTCGAAACTCTTTGCCAGCGTGTCGAGGAAACTTATTTCTTAGTCCGCCGTCATTTTTTATTCATAGCGGTTTAGCGAATTTACATAACGATTCAGCGCGTTTAACATGGTTTTGGTGGTCCATCCATTCCAAAAACAAGCATGTGTTCTTTTTATTTCAATCGCGTTTGTTACTCTCTACATATCACGCAAACAAAATATCAATAATAACTCTTTCAAAGCCCTCTATAACTTAACCAACTCCTCCAATACTGACATAGACGAATACCTTAAACTCTTAGAGTTAAATAACACAGACAAATTCGATGATTTCTTCTCAGAAAACCTTACAAACCATTTTATAACAATTTATGGCAACGAATCCACAGGAAATAACTCAAACGTGTTGTACATCCTGGGTTTATTCGAGTTAACTACAAAGTACGGACCAAGAAAGGAAGGTTCAAGTGAGGTCCAATCTGCTCAACTAGCTGTCCAACATGTAAACAATTTAAACATCATCCCTGGTTACAAGATTGAGTTGCTAGTTAATGACACCAAGGTAAATTGACAAGATTATATTTACTTGAAAAAGGAAAACTTTGGTGATATGCTAAACAAATATTAGAAATATAAGTGTAACTAAATCTAAATGCTAAATCTACCATATTGGGAATATTTCTAATATTTGTTTAAGATTATAAGTATATGATAAATTAACATAATGAATTCCAGTGTGATCCTGGAGTGGGTATAGACAGGTTTTTTCATGCCTTATACTCCAAGAAAAAAATCCTGATGCTTCTAGGTACCGGGTGTTCCAATGTAACCGAAAGCTTGGCGCATGTAATGCCTTATTGGAACATCCTCCAGGTATAAACCTCTAAAGTGACCTCAAAAAAACCTATCAAATGTACTCGTAGGTATCATTTGGTTCCACATCACCTTCATTAAGTGATAGAACAAAATTCCCGTTATTCTTCAGAACTGTAGCACCAGATTCATCATATACCCAAGCCAAAATTCACTTCATTAAAAAAATTGGTTGGAAAGTTGTAGCAACTTTCAGTCAAAGCGAAAATGCTTATTTACTTCCTTTGAACCATTTGGTAACAGAGCTAGAAAAGGTTAACGTTACGTGTATATCAACTGTAACTTTTTCCCTTGATAACTACAAGGAGCAACTGAAAGTTGTCAAGGTATGAAACAAAATATACTAACATATTACTTCCAAATTTTTTTGTTTTTAGGAACATGATATCCGTATTATATTTGCGAGTTTTTCAACGGAAATGTCTGCCAAAATATTTTGTGCTGTAAGTAGTTGTAAGCATCGTGTACAACAAGTTTTAAGAGATGTTTACAGATATATGAGATGAATATGTTTGGTCATGAATACGTATGGATTCTACAGGATAGAAATGAAGTTTGGTGGAGAAGTAATCAAGAATGTTCTCAAGTTTATTTAGAAAAAGCTACTGAAGGAATAATTATTGTATCTGATTTTTCAAACATGTATCAAAATGAGTACGCTATTTCAGGATTGGTAAATCATCAACTTAATACGTACTAATTTTTAAAACAGCAACATTTTAGAATGAAGTATTATTTAAAGAATCTCTTAATGTGACCAGTCATATATCAAAATATGCCAAACAAACTTACGATGCCATCTGGGCGATGGCTCTTTCACTACGAAAATATCAGGAATACTCCTATTTGGATGTTCTAAATAAGTTCCATTACAAACGAAAGGATATGGTCTGTAAGTTCCTCAAAACCATGGAGGATTTAAAATTTATGGGTCTTTCTGTACACAACATGCCAGAAAAATAACATTTTTATTTATGTTCGAATTTCAGGGACCAGTTCATTTCAATGGTGCCGATAGAATTGGCAATTCGATAGTTCGCCAGATACAAAACAACCAACTAAAAGATATAGCAATTTTTGACTCACTTCGAAACAATTTGGACTTCAATTGCCTTCATTGCAACCGATTGTATTGGCCCAACGGCCAAATACCATACGCACAAAGAATTCTTAAAGTGACTCTTGTTAAAATACCCAACATTCTTTTCAGTTCAGTTGCTGTTATATCATGCTTGGGGATGCTAGCCTCCATATTGTTTCTATATTTCAATTTGAGGTTTAGAAGATATAAAAGTGTGAAGTTATCCAGTCCAAAGCTTAATAATGTGACTGTAATTGGTTGTGTGTTCGTTTATCTGTCTGTTATCACTTTGGGAATACCGAATTTTTCAATACAGTCCAATACGTACTTCAATGAAATGTGTATTGTAAGTTTACAGAAAACCCATCCAAAAGCTTGTAGAATGTTTTGTAGGTGAGAGTATATCTCCTGTCAGCAGGTTGCTCTCTAACGTTTGGTTCCATGTTTGCCAAAACTTACAGAGTTCATAGACTTTTCACCTACATCGGGGCTGGTTTGGTGAAAGACAAACTCCTTAAGGACAAGAAACTGATAGCTTTAATTTTCATACCATTAATAATAGATGGTATAATTTTAAGCCTATGGTCGTTGGTTGATCCAATGCACAGAAATTTATACAATCTTACGTTACAAATAAGCCAAGAGGATTCAGGGGTAGTGTATCAACCACAAGTATGTCATTTAGACATAATTCTGTATACCTATGTAAAACTATTTATTTAAGGTTGAAATTTGCAAATCCCAAAACACATACGGCTGGTACATAGCCTTGTACGGCTACAAAGCCCTTTTCCTCGTCATGGGTGTTTTCATGGCTTGGGAAACAAGACATGTTAAAATACCAAGCTTGAACGATTCCCAGTACATAGGAATATGCGTATATAGCGCTGTCTTCAGTGCCATCATAGTGGTTCTATCTAGCTTCATATCTGAATATGTAGTATTCAGTTACATAGCAAGAAGTGTTAGTATATTAACTTCAACAACGGTCACCTTATTTTTGCTGTTCCTACCCAAGTTGAAGAGTGTTTTCGGCACTATGGACTCTGTGGACCCTATAATGCAAAGCATGGGGTTAAAAATGGAGTCCAACACCAGAAGATTCATAACCAACGATCCCAACGAGATCATATCAAGATTGGAGATACAAAATAAAGTCTACCGCTACGAATTGGAGGCGTTAGATAAGGAGATAGCAGCACTGGAAGAGCGAATTAACTGTCTCAATTCTTACTCCACCATTAACATCGATTTATCCGATAGTAAAGCTCAATGTTACTACCTCAAAGTGCCATCTCCTAACGTGGCAAGAGCTTCCTGGCCAAATACCAGAGGACAGCTCAGCATACACAAGTCAGGATTTCATTCTGATGTCAAACTGAATAAAGATAGTTTTTTCGATAGGTTGAACATATTTGGCAGATTGAAGCATATATTTGGGAGTAGTAGCAGCTCTTTGGAGCTTAATGAACCTCAATTAGAACAGTTTGAGAGGTCTCATGTGGTTGATTATAATTTACAGAAGGCTCTATCGGAAAATAACATCCACATATAAAAAAGTATAATAGTGAGATATGTTTTTACTATTGAAAAACCCTAGAACATTTACATAAAAAAACCATAGTCTGCGGGCAAAGCAATAAAATATATTAGAATTATACTTAAAGATATGATTATAAAATATCTCATTCATATTAAACTTAAATTCTTAATACTAACAAGTATAGCCAAATGATTTTAAGCCAATGAGAGTAAATCTATGATTTACCTACGTCATTATTTTAATGCCTTAAAGTAAGTTTTTTTTATCAAATTAGTTGGTCTATACGTGTTAAAATAGTGTAATTAAATATTATAATTAGCATTGTTATGGTTGGTATTAATTATAGATATTTTTTACCCTAAGTAATACGATAATGCAAAAGATAATGGTAAAACGATAAAATTTAAACAATAAATACGCTGGATAAAACAGTCCCGCCACCAAATCAAAATGTTTAGCAAAACCTTCACTTACGTGTTAATATTTTTAATTTTCCACAAGCAAGTCAAAGGTACACCTGGCATTTTTAAAGAAATTATAAATAGTGTTGGAGATGCTATCAATAAAGTTGCGAGTTTTTTACAACCAGCTGTTTTAAAATATGAGGCTCTTATAGATACTAAAACTGTAAAGGGGACTTTTTATCAGTTCGACAAGAATGCGTATAGGTATAAGCCAAAAGATCCTGATGGAGATATTGAAGGTAAGATTATATAGGGTGAAGAGAAACAATTTTTAAATATTTTTTTAGACTTTGGTACCTATGATTTCATCATCTGTGGTGCTGGAGCAGCTGGCCCAGTGCTAGCTAATAGATTAAGTGAAGTAACTGGATGGAACATCCTCATTTTGGAAGCTGGTGGCCTACCTGATGATTCAACTGATATGCCCGCGTTGGCCATACAAAACATGGCGTCAGATTTTAATTGGGGATTTTTCAGCGTCGAGCAAACAAAATCTTGTCTTGGTTATGAGAAAAATCGTTGCCCATACGCAAGAGGTCGAGGTTTGGGAGGTAGCACTCTTATAAACGGGTGTATGGTATCCAGACCCAACCCTAGAGATTTAGACAGACTAGGTGAGGTGGCATCAGGTTGGAGTTATGATGATATGCTCCCGTATATGATGAAATCAGAGAATTTAACAATCAATAGAAATGATGCTCCCATAAACCCTTCTTATCATAGAACTGGCGGGGAATTCCCCACACAGTTTAATTCTATCAACAATTCAAGAACTAGAGGGTTATATGGTGGATGCAAAGATCTAGGGTATAATTTAACTGATTATAATAGCCGCGAGCAAGTGGGATGTTCACCCATTCAATTCAACATTAAAGAAGGTTTGTGTAGCTAAATAAATGCCTAAATTGTTTATTGTTGTGTATGATATTTTAGGAAAAAGATGGGATACAGGAAAGGCCTTCATCCTGTCCCTCAACGACTCTCGTAGATCAAATATCAAAGTGATGAATTACAGCTACGTAACCAACATAAAAATAGATCCAGCATCAAAAAATGCAACCGGTGTTATTTTTTCGTACAATAAAAAGTTGTACTACGCCAAAGCTAGCAAGGAAGTCATAGTATCAGCTGGGACGTTTCAGTCAGCTCAACTGTTAATGTTGTCCGGTGTGGGTCCACAAAAACATCTGCAAGATTTTGGGATAACTGTATTTTCTGATGTACCGGTGGGTGAAAATTTAAGGGACCACGTCAGTATGACCATATTAGGTAATCATAATCAATTAGATGATACCATAAAGTTGCAACAGCAAGATATCGTTGATTATTTGAATGGTTTCGGTAGACTAACAGCCTACGAAGGCGTGTCAGCTTTAAGTTGGTTCCCGACAAAATACCAAACCGACAAAACCTGGCCTGATATAGAGTTCGTATTGATGCCCTTCCTCCTAACATCAGTGCCAATTAGCAACGCGTTTCGTTACACAATTTTTAGTTTGATTGAGCAGTTCATTGGTGCCGACATAGCACCACTATTTCTTGGTTACTACGCCTTTACCCAAACCAAATCAGTCGGGACTGTTAGGTTAAACAGCAAAGACCCTTACGAGTACCCTTTGATAGACCCCAACCTCTTTGGCGACCCATATGACATCGAAGCTCTATATGAAGGGATGTTGGGAGTTTTAGATTTGATAAACACTCCTTCGATGCAAGCTATTAAGGCCCGACTTGCCCCTTTGGAAATACCAGAGTGTGGTCTATATAACGAGACGTCAAAGTCCTACTGGTTTTGCGCTTTCAAGTATCTCGCCTTTCCAACCTATCACCCTGTAGGGACGTGTTCCATGGGTCAAAATAGCAGTACGGCAGTAGTGGATAACAACTTAAAAGTCTACGGAGTGAACAATCTCAGAGTTTGTGATGGGAGCATTTTCCCTTTTCCATTCTCAAATCATCCAATGGTTATCATAATGGCAGCAGCTGAGAAGCTATCTGATATTATAAAAAAGGAATACAATAAAATATGATTTGGTATGCTAGTTTTTTATTAATTTATGTTGTGTGAAATTTTATGTGTGTAAGTTATAATAACAAAAGGTTATGTCGATCGAAATGAAGAAAGTGTTTTAGTTAAACCAAGTGACTCAAAGAAACAAATCATAATTGTATAAAATACCATGTAAAAAATGAACCCCAGTTAGATCAGGTTGAAAGTATGGTTGGTTATAATTTACAAAAGGCTCTATCGGAAAATAACATCAACATAGAGTTACATTTAACAGATATGTTTTATTTATGAATATTTAGGTATTTATTAATGGCATTGGATAGCGTTTATCGAAAGGAAACCAAGCGCCAAAAACTTTTTCTGGGGCAAACAAAATAATTTGCAAAATAATTCATTTTTAATGCTGCACAAAAAATTAATAATGGTTTGGGAACCCTCTCAATCCTTTTGGGAAAAGTTCCAAATAAAGATCAAACTTTTGAGCATTATTAAAAATAAATAATTTTACCAAGCCCAGAAAAAGTTTTTGGCGCTTGGTTCCTTTTCGATAAGCGTTATCCACTTATACTTGTCGTCTCCGGTGATATGATAATATATAACATATATTATAACACGTGATAATAAAATTATTTTAAAATGTCTGGTATATTAAAATTACATTATTGATAATAATAATAATAATAGGTACTTTTACTAAATTTAAAAAAAATTGAAATGGTATAAAATCTGTAATACTTGAATTATTTTAATAAAATTTGAAATTTGTCGATAAACTTCAGTGAATTAAATATTGTACCACTTTAATTTGAATTATCTTAATTTGGAGGGACAGGAGGCTGGGGGTTGCACTTAAAAACTAACTTTTTTTCGCAAACTTTAATTTAAATTCTGCTTTCGCAGAACTTGTCTATATAATTTCATTATAAACTCATATAAATTTGATGTGGGTCCCATGTCTAATAACTGAGATATGGGTGTGCCAAAATCCACCAGCCGCCACTGGTAGGTATTCCTTTAATGAGGCAAGGTCTGGCAAATATTCTACTTAACCCCCAAGTAATTGACGTAATTTTACACTTTAATTAAATAAGTAATTTTTAATGGTAAATTAACTTAATACTAATTGTTACGCAGTGCGTTGAGCAGACCCAAATCAGTGTCCAGATTATACACGACGAGTGACCTCCACTTTCATTCTCGAATGCAAAAGTCGCATTTCGCAATCGCATCAAAAATAACTATATAACTATATAAAATATAATTTTTTCATAGGGTATAAAAAACACCCTGTCAAATCGTTTGTAAAAATATATAATTAACTTGTAGCTTAGTTATAATAATAAAGATATATATCTTTACTTTATAAGATAAAAAAGATTATGTTTAGTTGTTCATTTTTATGTTTTAGCTCCATTTAAAAAAATACTAAAACTTTAATTTACTCAAAAAGTATTTTCTAAATAAATAGACTTATAAAAGTATACATAATAAAATCTAAACATTAAAAAAATACAGAGTTTTCAATTGAAAATAAGAAAGTTGGTATCGTCCCAGGAAAACCAAACACTCTGATAAATAAAAAATCTCAGTACGTTGGACTAGAGGTCTTTATAATAGTGTAAAATAAAGTAATTTTTAAACTAAATATTAAATTGGACAAGAGGAATTTAAAATTGTAATATTGATAAATTATACATAAGGCCAAAACGATAATGGTAAACAGATAAAAATTACACAATAAATAGGCTGAATAAAAATATTCACGCTATTGCATTTACGAAATTGCATGAAAATGTTTTGGAAAACCTTTAGATACGTGTTAATAATATTAATTTTCCACAAGCAAGTCCAAGCTACACCTGTCATTTTTAATGAAATTATAAATATGGTTGGTGATGCTATGAACAAAGTTGCAAGTTTTTTACAACCGGATGTTTTGAAATATGAGGTTCTAATAGATACTAAAACTGTAAAGGGGACTTTTTATCAATTCGACAAAAATGCATATAGGTATAAGCCAAAAGATTCTGGTGGAGATATTGAAGGTAAACTTATGTAGGGTAAAGAGAAACAGTTATTATTAATATTTTTTAAGACTTTGGTACCTATGATTTCATCATCTGTGGTGCTGGAGCAGCTGGCCCAGTGCTAGCTAATAGATTAAGTGAAGTAGCTGGATGGAACATCCTTATTTTGGACGCTGGTGGACTACCTGATGACTCAACCGACATGCCTGCTTTGACTATCCAAAACCTGGCGTCAGATTTAAATTGGGGATTTTTCAGCGTCGAGCAAACAAAATCTTGTCTTGGTTTTGAGAACAATCGTTGTCCATACGCAAGAGGTCGCGGTTTGGGAGGTAGCACTCTTATGAACGGGTGTATGTTATCCAGACCCAACCCTAGAGATTTAGACAGACTAGGTGAAGTGGCATCAGGTTGGAGTTATGATGAAATGCTCCCGTATATGATGAAATCAGAGAATTTAACCATCAATAGAAATGATGCTCCCATAAACCCTTCTTATCATAGAACTGGCGGGGAATTCCCCACACAGTTTAATTCTATCAACAATTCAAGAACTAGAGGGTTATATGGTGGATGCAAAGATCTAGGGTATAATTTAACTGATTATAATAGCCGCGAGCAAGTGGGATGTTCACCCATTCAATTCAACATCAAAGAAGGTTTGTGTAGCTAAATAAATGCCCAAATTGTTTATTGTTGTGTATGTTATTTTAGGAAAAAGATGGGATACAGGTAAAGCCTTTATCCTGTCCCTCAACGACTCTCGTAGATCAAACATCAAAGTGATGACCTACAGCTACATAACCAACATAAAAATAGATCCAACATCAAAAAATGCAACCGGTGTTATTTTTTCGAACAATAAAAAGTTGTACTACGCCAAAGCTAGCAAGGAAGTTATAGTATCAGCTGGGACGTTCCAGTCAGCTCAACTATTAATGTTGTCTGGTGTTGGTCCACAAAAACATCTACAAGACTTAGGGATAACAGTATTTTCTGATGTACCGGTGGGTGAAAATTTAAGGGACCACGTCGGTATGACCATAGTAGGTAATCATGATCAATTAGATGATACCATAAAGTTCCAACAACAAGATATCGTCGATTATTTGAATGGTTTCGGTAGACTAACAGCCTACGAAGGTGTGTCATCTGTAAGTTGGTTCCCGACAAAATACCAAACCGACAAAACCTGGCCTGATGTGGAGTTCGTATTGATGCCCTTTCTCCTGACATCAGTTCCAAGTAGTAACGCGTTTCGTTACACTATGTTAAGTTTGATTGAGCAGTTCATTGGTGCCGAAATGGCACCACTTTTTCTTGGTTACTACTCCTTCACCCAAACCAAATCAGTCGGGACTGTTAGGTTAAACAGCAAAGACCCTTACGAGTACCCTTTGATAGACCCCAACCTCTTTGGCGACCCACATGACATCGAAGCTCTATATGAAGGGATGTTGGGAGTTTTAGATTTAATAAACACTCCTTCGATGCAAGCTATTAAGGCCCGACTTGCCCCTTTGGAAATACCAGAGTGTGGTCTATATAACGAGACATCAAAGTCCTACTGGTTTTGCGCTTTCAAGTATCTCGCCTTTCCAACCTATCACCCTGTTGGGACGTGTTCCATGGGTCAAAATAGCAGTACGGCAGTAGTGGATAACAACTTAAAGGTCTACGGAGTGAACAATCTCAGAGTTTGTGATGGTAGCATTTTCCCTTTCCCATTCTCAAATCATCCAATGGTTATCATAATGGCAGCAGCTGAGAAGCTATCTGATATTATAAAAAAGGAATTCAATAAAATATGATTTGGTATGCTAGTTTTTTATTAATTTATGTTGTGTCAAATTTTATGTGTGTAAGTTATAATAACAAAAGGTTATGTCGATCGAAATGAAGAAAGTGTTTTAGTTAAACCAAGTGACTCAAAGAAACAAATCATAATTGTATAAAATACCATGTAAAAAATGTTAGTTAGATCAGGTTGAGAGTATGTTTGGTTAGAATTTACAAAAGGCTCTATCGGAAAATACCATCAACATAGAGTTAAATTTAACAGAAATGTTTTATTTATGAATATTTATTTATTAATGGCATTGGATAGCGTTTATCGAAAGGAAACCAAGCGCCAAACACTTTTTCTGGGGCAAACAAACTAAGTTGCAAAATAATTCATTTTTAATGCTGCACAAAAAATTAATAATGGTTTGGGAACCCTCTCAATCCTTTTGAGAAAAGTTCCAAATGAAGATCAAACTTTTGAGCATTATTAAAAATAAATAATTTTACTAAGCCCAGAAAAAGTTTTTGGCGCTTGGTTCCTTTTCGATAAGCGTTATCTGCCGGTGATATTATAATATATAACATATATTATAACAAGTGATACTAAAATTATTTTAAAATGTCTGGTATATTAAAATTAAATTCTTGATAATAACAATAATAATAATAATAATAATAATAATAATAATAATAATAATAATATTAATAATAATAATAATAATAATAGGTCTTTATTTAATGAGGCGAGGTCTGGCAAATATTCTACTTAACCCCCAAGTAATTGACTAAAAATACGTGCTAGCTAGTATTGATGCCCTTTCTCCTGACATCAGTTCCAAGTAGTAACGCGTTTCGTTACACTATGTTAAGTTTGGTTGAGCAGTTCATTGGTGCCGAAATGGCACCACTTTTTCTTGGTTACTACTCCTTCACCCAAACCAAATCAGTCGGGACTGTTAGGTTAAAAAGCAAAGACCCTTATGAGTACCCTTTCATAGACCCCAACCTCTTGGGTGAAACACATGATATCGAAGCTTTATATGAAGGGATGTTAGGAGTTTTAGATTTAATAAACACTCCTTCGATGCAAGCTATTAAGGCCCGACTTGCCCCTTTGGAAATACCAGAGTGTGGTCTATATAACGAGACATCAAAGTCGTACTGGTTTTGCGCTTTCAAGTATCTCGCCTTTCCAACCTATCACCCAGTAGGGACGTGTTCCATGGGTCAAAATAGCAGTACGGCAGTAGTGGATAACAACTTAAAGGTCTACGGAGTGAACAATCTCAGAGTTTGTGATGGTAGCATTTTCCCTTTCCCATTCTCAAATCATCCAATGGTTATCATAATGGCAGCAGCTGAGAAGCTATCTGATATTATAAAAAAGGAATACAATAAAATATGATTTGGTATGCTAGTTTTTTATTAATTTATGTTGTGTCAAATTTTATGTGTCATCATCCATTATGTCTCATAACAAAAACCAGAAAGTTGTAATACCAAAAGGTTATGTCGATCCAAATGAAGAAAGTGTTTTAGTTATACCAAGTGACTCAAGGAAACAAATTATAGTTGCAAGAAGAAAAGATATTATCAAAACAAATGGAACGAATTTAATCAATGAAAACGACTTAGGCAAGGAAGAAAGGATTTCCTGTAGCACATATTTTAATCAAAATCCAATCCACGATAATCAGAAATGTGATGATGATTATTATAATTATGATTATAATTATCATAACCAACAAGAAGTTACTAAAGATCTTGTAATGAATCTGCAGATATGTGCTATAGCAGAGCAGATTCAATCACCGTGCAAAGAGAGGGAACCTAAATGTGACCCCTGTAGGCCAAAAAAAAGTTGTGCTGATATCAAACCCAAAGAACCTTGCCTCAACTGCGAATACCGAGCTAGAACTAATAAAGCTTGCCCACAGTGTTGCAAAGCTGAAAGTAAACCAATTTGTTATTCGTGCCAACAAAAAACTTCATGTGCTGATGTAAAGCCTCCAGAAGCTTGTCCACAATGTACTGCACCTCCAGCATGTGTTAATGAAAATGAAAGCAAGGCAATTGTTTGTGAAAAGAATGAGGGAAATTTTAAAAGTAATCTGGAGGAGTTTAAGAAAGCAAGAGATAAACTTTTAATGGATGTCAAAATGTTATCAGCGTTATTTTCGCTTGATGTGGATAAAGCATGTAAGTATCTATTTTTATTTGTTTATGTTGCCATGTGTCAAATTTTTGTGTCTCAACCATCATCATGTCTCCAAACAAAAAGCAAAAAGCTCAAAAAACCCAAAAAGTTTTGATCCCAAAAGGACTGGTTAATCCTGACGAAGAAACCGTTATAACGATACCAACCAACTTACAACGTCATGAAATTATAGTTGCCAGGAAAATAAACCTGGACAAATCCAGAAAGGATAGATTAATTAACGAGAAAGATTTAAGAAAGGCTAGGAATACTTGCAGCGTATGCATTGACCAAATGCAACAAAAAAACGCACATAGATACGCTGCAGATGAATATGCTGAGGATGTTTATTATTGCGATCACCAAAACTCTGAAAGATATCACCAAAACTTGGAAAGGTTCAACAAACAACAAGGTCAAGTGACGTCAATCCCAATCTCCAAAGATTTCTGCGTGAATCTGCAAATATGTGCTACACCTGAGCAGAATCAACCGTGCGAAGAGGAAGTATCTAAATGTGACCCCTGTACGTCATGTGCTGATATCAAGCCTTGCAAAACCTCATGTGCCGATATCAAACCCATAGAACCTTGCCTCAACTGTGCATTTAGAGCTGAAACAAACAAGGCTTGCGCTCAGTGTTGCAAACAAGAGAGCACAATCTGTGATTCATGCCGCGAAAAAGCTGATTGTAAACCTAGAACTTCGTGCGCTGACGTCATACCACCAGAACCTTGTGCAAATTGTGAACATAGAGCAAGAACGAACATGGCCTGTCCTCAATGTTGCGCACCTCCACCATGTGAGATCAAAGCCACGACATGTGAGAAGTGCCAAAATGATATCACCAGCAACACCCTACAGAGCGATTTGGAAGATTTTAAGAGAGTTAGAGATAAACTTTTGATGGACACTAAGATGTTATCAGCTTTGTGTTCAATGGATTTGAATAAAGGCCCAAGTGGAGCATGTAAGTATACTGGGCGCGTTCCAAATTTCTAGTGGCGCTATCTAAATTAGAATTATATTACATCAGAAGTCAAAAATGTCAAAATCCGCAATGGACAAAAAAATAATGGTCACCAACGGATGGGTGCACCCATCAGCCAAAACCAAATTCGAGATACCCAAAGTGCTATTTAAAGGGAAGAAAAAGGAGTACGATTTGAATCCAATCATGCCCAAAACCCCACCGTGCAGTCAAATCGTGAAACATACCATGAATCCCACCATAGATGAAACACAACAAACCTTAGCTGGTGGTGTTGCAGTGAAACCACCTAATAATAACCTTCCCAGAATGGATTTTGCTGCTCAAGCTAGAAGCAATAACACATATGGTAGGATTCTTATGTGTAGCCCGAACTTTTCCAAAAATTTAAAATCAAATCAAAGTTCCTCTATAACGAGTCTGTGTGAAAATTGCAGCGATGGAACGAAAAAATGTTACAAGCAAAGAGATTTGAACTACTTCAACAAACAATTTAAATGCACTTGTACAAATAAGTATGACTTAGATTATAAAAAGCAAGCAAGGAGAGAAAAAATAAAATATATTTTGATTGAAACGCTAAAAATGCTTGAGAAGCTACCAAAAAAAGTTACTTTCGACGAAGAAGACACCCTGAAAGTTATACATATTAACGATAATTTTAATGCAGGTAGGATATAATCATATTATTCTCACTGTACTACAAAGAGGTCTCGCACTTAAAGCCATTTGGCGTAAATTAATTAGGTTATAAAATCTATCAAAATTACCGTTCGAAATGGCGACACCTCGCAAGAAAAAAACGCAGAAAATAATCATCCCCAAGGGCACAGTGGACCCGAATAACGATACCATATTGGAAATACCAGTGAACATGACGAAGAGGAGCGTTATAGTGGCGCAGAAAAAAGGCAGGGAGCACAGGGCTGACATCAGCGACCATTTCTCGCGGAAAGATTTGCAAACGCTAAACAAATCTTTGAGATGCGATGTAAACACGAGTTGTAGAAATTGCGGAAGCGGATACGAGCTACCGAAAACAACATTTCATGTGCCCATTTCGGCCAACAAGAGCAAAAAATGGATGCCCGAGTTTAGAGCGCTTAAACCTTCAAAACACGATATCAGAGCTGTAAAACCCGAAAAAGAAATCTGGTCTTCCACTGTAAATGATAAAAGTGTTGAAGAAGTAGAGTTAGAGTTGGTAAGCAAGGAAACCGGCACTAATGCAATGGACTATGCAGACTTTAGAGCTGCCTGTGACAACTTAAAGTGTACCAATACTGTTGATAGAGACACCATTACTTCTTGTAGAGACAAGATCTTCGACATACCTCAGTGTAGTAAATTTAACGACAGAGAAACTCAGCATCCTAGAAGTGTTCACAAGAATAGCTCCATAGAGAGTTTATGTCCTTCTTGTAGCCACAACTACATGTATACTAATAGTTATTGTGGTTTTAACACACCTAGTTGTTTTTCTGATACACACAGATGTGCTCACGATTTTAATCCCAGAAACCCTTTTGGTACCCATCATCAACGAAACCAACATATTTGTGAATCTTGTGGAAGTAGATTAGAATGTGGAAATTTATCTGGAAATAGCAACTTTGGTAGAGGTTTTATTATAGTAACCGATCCAGAAGAATTCTTCAAAAATTTAAATAACCACGGTATCAAGAAGGAACCTGAAACTAGCCTATCTAGCGATTCTTTGGACAAATTATTTGAGAAAATAAAGAGAAAACTCCAAAGCAAAAAGGTTTTTGAAACCCCAGAAAAAGATAGTTATACTAGCAAGTCTAAAGATAAAGATAAAGACCAAGATGAATATAAATTATTTCGAACCAAATCACAAACAAACATATTTCATTAAAAACTAGGGTTACCTGTCAAAATTCTTGTCACCATGTTTTCACAACATGCCGTTTAAAAGTAAAAAAGTAGTGATACCAAAAGGCCTCATCAATCCATGCGAGAATACCATTGTTGAAGTTCCGCCGAATTTAAAGAAGCAACCTATAGTGATAGTAAAATATCCGAATCAAGATTGTGCTCCAGATCCAGAGGCTAGTAGTTGCCCTTATAAACCTTGTAGACCTGCTGAGAGAAACAGCGAATTGGATACAAGTGATAACGTCAGGCTTATGGTGCAATCCAACTCCCAGAAACCTAAAGTGAAGATGGAGGATAAAAGTGTCGGAACCATGAATCCTAACCATGGTGTGCACACCTTCATACCTTTAGTAAATAGTACACAACAACCAAATGCTTCTTCCGCAATGAACGTTCCTGTGAATATTACGGCGATTCCGCTAAACCAAGCTCAGATAATTCAAGGTTTAAGTGGTACTCAGCTAACACCTAACCTGATACCTATAACAAGCTATTCAGGGATACCTAATATGAGCATGACGTCACAACTAAATCCATGTATGCAATATCAAACTCCTAAATCCTGCAATATTTGCGATAGTTGCAACTTTAAAACGCTAAACGCCAGAGGAACTGAACGTATGCTGTTGGAAAAGGATATAGAAAGACTTATAAGAGCTCGGCGAAGATTAAAATATGAATTTTCAGACGATTGTCAAGTCCAAAAAAAACCGGAATATTGTTCAGTAAAAACGAAATGTGAATCGCGTCAAGAATACTTAAAACCTCTTGAAAAAAACCTTATCGATATAAAGAAACTAACCTTAGGTTATCTACTTTCTTCATCAATACGTTGTATCTAACCAAAACTTTGTTGTAGCTCTAAGTGGTAGTAAAAAGTCTTCCAGAGCAGTCCTAGATGACACAATGGATTTAAATGAAGATACTATTGCCGATAAAGAAGACAAAGAGTTAACCGATATAGAAAAAGCAGTTAAAGATTTTCAGATGGCTAGACGAAATCTTATAAGCAAACTTAAGGAGTATTCTAGCTCTCAGTTACCTTCAACTAAAGACTAATTCACCATTTCTGTAACGTTTAAGTAAAAAATATATTTAACCCTATAAACAAAGGATTTATTTATTTCTGCCCGAGACGTTAATACAAATTAAATAATAGTATATTATGTATTAAGTTTGATAAACGGGGAATCTGTGTGTCACCGTCAAATGTCAAATTTTTTTATTTTATAAACAGAGATATAAAGGTTATAAATCGAAATGTATTTCTTGAAAATTGACAGTTTTTCACGGTGAAAGTAAAGAAAATGTTTTATGAGCACTTTACAGTTGAGTCCGTGCCCGAATTTAAGTTATAGTTTACTGCCGGCGAAATTAAAAGATTAGTGCAATGTTCATATAAACTTTTCAAATATTGGTGTTGAGAAACTATTTAACTATGATTTCGCGAAAGAATCGAACGATCGATTTACAACACATCTCAGATTTTTTTTTAATTTTAATATTTTGTTTATACATCCAATTTAACACTAAATCTAAAATTTTTCTTTCATCTGACTTAAACTTTAGCTCCTAGAAACCATTTAATTTTGCCTTTCACAAAAAGGCCAAATTCCATTATTTTGGCATACATTTTTTATTAAAATACTGAATGATTTGAAATTTGGCCCATGTATGACCCCTATTAGTACCTACAATTCTGTCAAAAAAAAGTTTTAATTTTTTACATACAGGTGGCGCTGCAATTTTTTTTTCTTCGAAAGTAGACGTTTTTTGAAGACAAAAAATTCTCTTAAGCAACAATGCTCAAAAAAACTAAATAGCGTACCAGATAATATAGATATTCCTTTATAATTCGACATATAAAAATTTACTTGCAAATGATGTTGCCGCCCGTAAAGCCAACTTATAGTTTGGTCTACCGCATTAAAAAAAATTGAATTACACTTTCAACTCTATCCTTATTTTTAAACTAAGGAACTCCAGGTGATGGCTTTTATTGGTTACTAAAACGCAACAAAAAAAAGTTTTATTTTTTTATATACAGGGGGCGCTGCAGCCTTTTTTTCAAAAATAGACGTTTATAAAGACCATAAAGTTACTTAAGCAACATTGCTTAAAAAACTAATGACATTATTTATAATGTATCAGATAATATAGATATTCTTTTATTGTTTGACATATAAAAATTTATTTGCAATAATTAATGCCTGTTGTAGGGACGATTAAAATTATAACTAGTGCACGTACCCGCATATTGTTATATAAACGCCTTTTTTCGCTTTTATTGTTGTATGCGGACAAAAGGTAACAAAACCAAAGAAATTTTAATTACAAATGGTAACAAGTATTTCAGTGACTCTATAGTAATAGTAATAGTAATATGACCATTTGTTTAAATATATTTTAGTATATTTCGAGAGGCAAAGCATTCTTTATTATCGTACTTTAAAATTAAACTAAAGTCAAGCCTATAGGCTGGGAATCAAGTTACCCCAACAGTTGACAGTTACTGTCAAATGGTAACCATAATAACATTTAAAATTTAAGTTGAAATTGGAGAGGGAAAATATCATGCTTTTAAAGGTACGCAAAGTTAATAAATTTTCTTTAAGTAAATCAAAATTCTAGGAATTGAATTTTCTTCTGGAGTAAACATAAAAGTTCCTTGGACATCATCGAGTCGACAAAAGGAAAATCTAAATAATTTAAAAGCAATTAAATATAGGTGCGACGAATTACTTTGCAGTAGGGTTTTTGAAAATAAAGATGATCTTCTAAACCACCTTAAATTTCAAAATCATAAATTTCCTGAAATTAGACAAACTATAGGTGATGTTGCTAGAATGGAATTTTTAAAACAAAAAGATGTTTTTTTTAACTGCAACTAGTTCAACAATATCTACCGTCAATATATGCCCAAATGAAGAAGATAAAAATACGTTTTTTCGAGTATATGCAAAAGGGTTCGGAAGGCGCAAAATTAAAAAATCACGTTTTAATGAAAAACAAAAAGATTTTGTTGGCAACCTTTTTGAAGAAGGTGAAAAAACTAAAATATACGCCTGAATATATAGCAACAGCTTTACAAAATTATGAAGTAAATGGCAAATTTTAGTTTTCTTCAAACGAGTATATGCATCCTAATCAGATTCGCGACTTATTATCAAGATTATCGTCAGATAGAAGGTTAAGCAAAAATAGAAAAAGAAAATTTAAAAATTTGCCGGAAGAAATTGAAGAAATTAGCCCAGAAGCGGAAGTTTTTTTGAAGCTTTATCAATTTTAAAGTAGTTCCTTTGCGGCCTAAGTAACTTTTAAGTTATAAATAACCCTGGTTAAAATATCTAGACTGATTCTGAGAATCGCTCTAGAGATTTGAACCAGCCAGTAGGATATAAACCAGGGTTATTTATAACTAAAAAGTTAGCGAATATACCCCTTAGAGCCCAACAAGTTTAAAATTTAATGTAAAGGTAATAATAATTATTATTATAATAATTATTAGGATATATCTTTATTATTTAATATATGCAAATCTTGCAGATAAATTGTTATATGTTAAATAATAAAGAAATAGTAATATCAATAATAATAATAAAGAAAAACATAATAAATAAAATAAAGAACAAACCTATTAAATAAATAATGGAATACGTAACTCTTTATAATAAAGGAATACATAACTATATTATCTGAAATGCTATATAGTTTTTAAAGAAAAAAGGCTGCAGCGCCCCCTGGGTGTGAAAAAAATAAAACTTTTTTTTGCTGTGTTATTGTTACCAATAAAAGTAATCTCCTGGAATTCCTTAGTTAATAAATAATAAAGTTGTAAGTGTAATTCAATTTTTTTTAATGCGGTAAACAAAACTTTAAGTTGGCTTTACGGGCGGCAACATCATTTGCAAGTAAATTTTTATATATCAAATTATAAAGGAATATGTATATTATCTGGTATACTATTTAGTTTTTTTGAGCATTGTTGCTTAAGAGAGTTTTTGGTCCTCAAAAAACGTCTATTTTTGAAGAAGAAAAAATTGCAGCGCCACCTATATGTAAAAAATTTAATTTTTTTTTTGGTAGAATTGTAGGTACTAATAAGGGTCATTTATGGACCACATCTCAAAACATTCAGTATTTTAATAAAAAAATTATGCTAATATAATGAAATTATGGCTTTTTGCGAAAGGTAAAATTAGATGGTCTCTGGGAGCCAAAGTTTAGGTCAGATAAAAGAAAAATTTTAGATTTAGGTTGGAATTAGATGTATAAACACAATATTAAAATATAAAAAAAATCTGAGATGTGTTATAAAAAAATACCCCAAAATCGTTCGATTCTTTCGCGAAATCATAGTTAATACTTTTGTATTTTTGTATTGAGATAATAAAATGATTTTCACATTTAGTATTATTTTACAAGAAAGGCACTTTATTTTAACGATTGTATGACATTTGACAACTGTCAACTAACTTAAAACTAACTTCAGCCCGTGACTAAAAACTGTTGCTCACTTCAGCCAGTGACTAAAGCGCCATAAAGCCACAACTTGTCAATGTGTATTTAAAATGTCACTTAGGGCCGGTTTTTCAATTAGGGTCTTAACCTTTGTTCAGGGGAACTTAGATCAGTTAATGAACTCAGTTCACAGTCAAATGAGTTTTTCAATGTCGACTCAACAGCAGTTCTGTTGAACTTAGATCAGCGGTGTCAACGTTAAGTTGGTACAACCGAATTTAGTATACGCCTACATTAATAGTAGTTGAAACTGTCATTTTGACAAAAGGATTTTGTGTTTACTTTTGGAGTTTTGTTTATCTGTGCTGTTTTAAAAAGTTCTAATCTGTGCGAAAGGTTGCTTTAAAACAATTTACTATTGTTAAAGGACAATAATTATTATTTATTATGGATAAAAATCGTGCTGTCTCTTTTAAGGAGGAATTATTTGTATGTATTTCGTTTTATGGTAGGTATAAAATGAATGGGTGACGTTCACAATATCGAAATTCATTATATCGAATTCAAAATATCGAACACTTTTTATCGAAAATCAAAATATCGAAAATACAAAATGTCGAAAATCAAAATATCGAAAATTAAAATGTCGAAAATGATAATATCGAAAATTAAAATGTCGATTTGAAAATGTCGAATAATTAAAATTTCGAAAATTAAAATGTCGCAAATGATAATATCGAAAATTAAAATGTCGATTTGAAAATGTCGAAAATGATAATATCGAAAATTAAAATGTCGATTTGAAAATGTCGAATAATTAAAATTTCGAAAATTAAAATATCGATTTAAAAATATCGAAAATTAAAATGTATGATTAAAATCGAAGTGTATATGTACAGAGGCGCCTCTGTAGATAAAGTTACGGTTATGCACCGAATTATCTTGGCTCCCTGGCTCCTAGAGATGCGCGTTTTATAGAAATGTACTCAAACTCAACAACACAACCCAACCGACCCCGCCCCCTTGGCCCCTCCCCCGCTCCATTGAGCAGAAAACCCAACTAAAATGGGCAAATTCATGTTACGATAAAAATAAAACAATTTTTAATTACATAAATTAGCCCATTTTAGTTGGGTTTTTTGCTCAATGGGGCGGGGGGGGGGCCAATGGGGCGGGGTCGGTTGGGTTGTGTTGTTGAGTTTGAGTACATTTCTATATCAGAGGCGCCTCTATACATATACACTTCGGATTAAAATAATATGTCGATTAATTGAAATATTTAAACAAAATATCAAATTCAAAATAAGAAAATATGGTTTATATAGTTTCACATTAAAATTCGATTAAATAAAATTTCGACATTTTAATTTTCGATATTTTGATTTTCGATAAAAAGTGTTCGATATTTTGAATTCGATAAAGTGAATTTCGATATTATGAACGTCGATATTTTATTTTCGATAAATTGAAAATTCGATAAAATAAAATTTCGATATTATCATTTTCGACATTTTAATTTTCGATATTTTGATTTTCGACATTTTGTATTTTCGATATTTTGATTTTCGATAAAAAGTGTTCGATATTTTGAATTCGATAAAGTGAATTTCGATATTATGAACGTCACCCAAATGAATTTGTCGTTTTTTGTTACATGTGATCAATTTTACTAAAATCTATTACCTATTCAGTAATTATTTTTATAACTAACCTATTGGTCGGATTTGCAATAACTGGTCTAATTAAATCCACTATCCTATACGTACAAAAGGTTTGGAAAACCGAAATCTGGCAAAAAATTCATCATTAATCCACCTTTCAAAATAATTCGGTCTTACCCGTGGCCTGTGCACACGAAGTTGAATATTATTTAGGAATTCGCCAATTTCCTCATCATCCTCACTAACTACCTCAAACATATCCATTGGGTTATTATAACAGCAGATTACAAAACAAGAAATAAACAACATAATACACAATAAAGCAGAGAAAAATTAAGTTATGTCAAGTTGAACTTCGTTTAAACGGCCAACAGTGACAGTTCATCTTCTGATTTAGTTTAAACCAAATTCAAGCTTGAACTTTGATTGAAAAACGGTATATTTTGTTTGAACCAAGTTCAAATGCTGAACCAAGTTCAAATGCTGAACCAAGTTTAAACTATGATTGAAAAACCATAGAAACATGTACGATAAAGGTCGTTTTAAAGGTGGGAGTAGAAAAAACAATTAAAATTGTCGCGATCTGGCTTATCGCGCTGCGCTGGATGCAAATTGTGAACGGAGTTTTGGTGTATTTTGTCAGTCTGTGGACCAGCGCATGGGAGGAAAGTCGAACTGCCAACTCTTCGCTGACTCCGGCAACTTTTAATTTAACAGAGAGCGGGAAAACGCGCAAGTCGTACGGAAAACTATTTATTTATTTGAGTTATGAACTGAAGTTTCAAAGTTTGTAGATATGAGTGCAGTAGATGTATATTTGTTTATCAAATAAGCAAGAGTTTGGGTGAGTTAATGAGCATTTTTTTGTTGTGAAATTGCATAATTTTTTTTTATAAAACCTATAATTTTACATTTTGGTAAATATGTATGATAAATGGTTTTGATAAACAAATAAAACCTTATTATTATAATTATTCTCATACGATTTGTTTATAAAGGTCTTAAAATTATCTTTATATATATTTACATGATAAGAAATCTGCGTTAAAGTAAAAACACTGTTTAAGATAAAACAATAATCTTAGGTGCTCAAAATGGTGGCCTTCGACTTCAATGCATTTATTAATTCGCAATTCGTTTTAATATTCTGCTAACACTGCTCTGGGATATTCCCAAATCTCTAGATAATTCTCGTGTGCTTGCATGAGGATTAGCGGCCGTTGCTGCTAATACATTAATTTCATTATTTTCACCTGTGACTGTTGCTCGACGAAGTTTTTTTTTCGGTTGAACACTCCCGTTTGTAGTAAACTGCTTGACTGTACGGTGAAATGAAGTACGTGATCGAATTTTTTCCGGAAAACGCTGAGCGTTTATATTAACAGCATCATTAAGATTCCTGCCTGCTTCTCCATAAATCAAAATCATTTACACTGTTAAAAAATCCATTATGAATAACTGCTTAACGAAAGGAGGTCTTTTTGTTTGCAAATTAATCTTCGAACTAAATTGATTAAATAATGCTAAACTATAAATAGTTTCTTTATACCTCAATAATAATTACTATTTATAACTAAATACCATTTTTTTATACTTTAATTAGGATTAAATTATTTAATTGACAAAATAATGTTTTTTTTACCTGAAAGGAGGTATTTTTATTAAAAATAGTAGAATAATCCTTTAAATTAAAGGATTTAATGCTGGCAGGGACCATGGTGCGCAAATGATAATTATCACCGAATGAAATAATGTATAAAACTTAAACCAAAGGAAACTTAAATATTAGTTAAAAAATCGTGGGTACCAATAAGATAATTATTACCAAAAAAAGTGATATTTTTATAGAAAAATTATTGCAGAATCGTATACAGAAGAAAAATCGAACAAAATTGATTTTTTTTCATTACAGCGCCATCTATTGCAAATATGAAAAAATGTTTTAGACAAAATCTACCTATATATATTTATATATATATATATATATATATATAATTCAAAGGGTTTTATAAAACTATTTAAATATGAATTACAATAACAAAATGCTTAAATCATTTTGTATTAAATTTTCATTATAAAAGGAAAACATTTTTGGCAACTATAAACTTTTCTCCGTCATAATTTCAATAAAATTAAAAAGCCCTGCAAACTTGTTAAATATACCAATTTAAAATATAAATTAAACATAACCATTACTTTCTGTATATTAGTATTTACTCGGAAAAGTTAAATTTCATTGCTAATTTTTAGGGCAAAAATTTAATGTAAATTCGTATTATGAACTTTTGCCTACTGGGTTTTTAATTTGGAAATTTCAATTTTCAGAAACATATATATTTTAAACTTAGATTAAAAGTGCTTTGCCACCAGAAACTTTGTGCTTTTTAATACTGTTCAGGAACTGTATAAAAAAAATGTTGCTTAAGAATTTGTTGGTAAATAGTATTTACTAAATACATCGACAAACGGAAACTTTATAGTACATATTTGTGCATCTCTTTTACATAATTAACCTTACTTTTTCCTAATTAAAGATCTTACTTTATCCCAATTAGTGCATTTAGTAATTTAATACACACACATACTATAGCTTTTGGGTCTTCTTCTCTTTATAAAAGCTGGATATATTTCCATAATATATATTATATGCATTTAGGTACAGGGTGTTTTCTTATAAATGGGACACAAATTTTGTTATAAAAGATATCAAAAAATTTAAATTCCAGCTTGCATGCTTTAAAAGAGTAATTTTTTGACAAAAAATCAAAAACAAAAAAGCATCGGTAAATTTAATAAAATAGTATTGACATTTCATTTTAACAATATATATTTTTAAAACCAGAATAAAAAACTCTAAATATTCAAAAATATACAGGGTGTTTCATTGAAAAAAACGATGTTAATTTTTTTTACTAAATTTACCAAATTTAATTTATTTTTTGATATCTCTTCTAATTAGGATTTATAAGAAAACACGCTGTACATACCCGGAAAATTTAATCTCGACGTTCAATAACTACCTGCACAACAGACAAATATGAAATTCCTCATTTTCAAAGGCTATATATATATATATGTATATGCAGTGTAAAATCTTTATTTATTGTGCGATTTTAACCGGATTTGTTTTAAAGTGTAGATCTTCATAAACTGTATTTTTGGAACAAAAAAGCCATATTTGTACAAAATACAAGGCCTACTATGTTAGTTTTTAAGAGTGAATGTTTAAGAATTCATATTAGCGATTTATTATATATTTACTAAACTTTATTGAAAAAGTTGAAAACTACAAAAATTTATTCAAGTTATCCATGAAAAAAACATTGAAATAAAATTAAACTTATAGTAATAGTACCATGTAATATTAATTTATCACAGTTTTCCATTTTTTCTTTAGTCCTTTATAAAAAAGAGCATATTTCATCATTAATCAATCGGTTACCAAATCTTTATACATATTTTTATAGGAAATTAAATGCTCTACAAAAAAGGACAGATGTGTTTAAGTGATTACTCTAACAATTGAAAAGATATTCAAGAGCAAATTTAAAGAATTTATAAAAAAAAAATGTTTTTTTTAATAATTTTGTAACTCATTTAAAAACCATTATTGTCAAATAAGTATGACATATTTTTATAGGAAATTTAACACTCTACCAAAAAGGTTTAATGTGTTTAATTGATTTCTCTAACCGTTACAAAGATATTCGTATCCGAATCCCAAAGCGTACTGAACGTATTTCTGATTAACCCAAGACTAATTTGGATGTAAAAACTACAGGGTGCGGTGCAAAAGAGACTCTAAAAAAGAGATACTCAAACGAGCTGGCAACAGCGCATTCATCTAATTCTCACGATATAACTTTTTCTGTTTGCTCTCATTTTACGAGATGTGTTCAGAAAATATCGGGAATTTTTGTTTTTTGAAACAAATATTTATTTATTCGTCTACATTAATGTTGTCGCCTTCAAAATAGTCCCCATTGGATATTATGCACATGTGCCAGCTCTTCTTCCAATACTCGAAACACTTCTAAAACTCGATCTTTGGGATAGCCTTTAGTTCTTTCAGCGATGCGCTTATAATGTCATCTGTGCTTGCAAAACGACGGCCCTTTATGGTTCTCTTTATTTTTGGGAATAGGAAAAAGTCAGACAGAGGCATGCCTGGCGAATACGGAGGCTGGGGCATCATTACAGTATTGTTTTTGGCCAAAAATGTTGTTCAAAATTTAACAATTTTAGAACAAATTTTGCTGCCACGCGTTTCATACCCAAAACATCATGGGATGAGCCAATCGATATACCAACATCATCAGCGACTTCTCTGATGGTTTATAACCATTTCTTTCACTTTTTTCATGTTTTTATCGGTTGTTAATGTGCTTGTGCGTTCGGGGCGTTCGTCATCTTCAACGTCTTCACGGCCATCTTGGAAACTCTTATACCACTTGTAAACTCTTGTTTTACTTATAGCAGACTTACTATAGGCCTTTGTTAATATTTCACAGAATTTATTTCATTTTTTAAGCAAAATTGGATACGAATTCTTTGATCTATTTCTTTTAACGAACAAAAAATCGCCGAGCTCATAAAACACGTCTAACTAGCGGCTGCAACAGACAAAGTAAACAATGAAAACAGCTAAAGTTTTTATCATACTTCGGGGGCATGTATACCAACATAATAAAGAAAATTTTATGACAACCGGACCCTCCGAACCCGCGAAATTTAACAATTCCCGTTATTTTCTGAACACACCTCGTACAGCTCTCTCTTTCAAGTTTTCATTGTGGGTTGGTTGATGAACATTCGATTACCCTCGTAACACCAAAGTCTACTGGTAATAGATTGGGCTCGATGTCGACAAGATACCTTGCAAATGTGATTAATGCAAGCCATGGACAGCGCGGATGGCTAGATTTAAACGGATATTAGAAAGTCCTGCCAATACGGTGAATTAAAACTACAAATCTAATGCAGATTGATGCGTTTTCAAAGATGTCCTGGGTGCTCAATTTTTTTAACGATTTGTAATTTAATTCTATCAAATTAAAATTTCGTCTACACCGATCTAATTTAAATAACTTCAAAGGAATTACTGTTCATGTTTAATTTGTACATTTGTACATCTCTAAAAGCGCATTACCCACACAGTAACTATAGTAGGTATATCAAATTCTAATTTCACAAATGCTTTTATACGGAATTGTGAATTTCCGGAATTCATTAATACAAAGTTAATTAAAGTCGAGCACGAAAAAGATTTTTACCGGTTTTTCCTTTAAAGGACACTCAATATTTCTAATGTCAAATCCAATCAGGACCTTTTTAAATTCTTTGCCAAGTTATTTTACATCTTAAAGGATTATATTTTGAAAGAAATATTTTAAATCTGTTTTAAATTATTACGCGTCATACTTTTAATACTTTTTATTCCCTGTAGTAAACTATAGAAAAAAATCAGTCTTATAAAATATAAAGTTAATTTTTTTTATTTTGACTCGTGTTTTTGTATTAAGTTGGTAGCTTATGCCAGTTTGATTTAGTATTTTTAGTACTACCGCTAACAAAAAAAACTCATACAGCTATATTGTGGCTGTGTGAATAAAACTTCTCCGTCAATGTCAAGCTGACATCCAGCTTTGTCACATCCATTATGACATCCATTATGACTTTTTTAACATTTTTAACCAAACAATGCAGACGAACTCTGGCAAGCCATTGAAGCCATTTGGAACGAGATAAAGCAAGACGGCGACTTCCATGCTTTGCCGTTTGCGGGCAGTAATTGACAAAAACAGAGGGATGACGAAATATTATTTTTTTTTTCAAACTTCAACC